CTTCGGAGCACTTCTCTAGTGGAATCACTGTTGCAATGGGAGTCTTTTTTAAAAAATTGTGTTCATTGCCGGTTGGGGGGCTGATAGTTCAAAAGAATCATTAAGTCTGCAAGTCATTAAGATAAGAAAGAAACAGTGCATGCACATTTTCATCCTTGCATCCTATTCAGTTTCTCAGTTCTTGCATCAAATGGTCAGTATGGCTGTGGTTGCTAAGTCACTTGGTTGGTTGGTCGGTCTGTTGTTCCCTGCTCCTTAGCTAAAAAGGCTCCCAGGGTGGCTTACATATAATAAATGAAAGCAAGACAGCCCCTGCCCACAAGCTTTCAATCTAAAAAACACAGCACGCAAAAAGTAAGGGACAGGGAAGGAAGAGGGGAAAAGCAAACTTGGGTGCCAATTCCTAAATTGTAACTCAGGGGCAGGTGGTGGCTGATGGAGTTGGTCTTTTGGCAAAGCTGAACCCTGCTTCCCATCTCAGGCAGTTCAATGGAATGGAATACCGTATTTTTCGCACCATAGGACGCACTTTTTCCCTCCTAAAAAGCAAGGGAAAATGTGTGTGCGTCCTATGGAGCGAATGCAGGGGGGGGAGGCAGGCGGGAAAAGCCCTCAAGAGCCACACACAAGCTTCGTGCGCTCTTGCGGGCTTTTCTCCAGGAGGGAGAAGGGACTGACTGGCTGCAGCAGTCCCTTCTCTCTCCTGGGGGAAAAGCCCCCAAGAGCGGCGCCCTCTTTAAAGGTTGTGCGGCTCCTGCAGGCTTTTCTATGAGGTGGGGGAACCCACCTCCCAGAAAAGCCAGGAGAAGCCGCACCGCCCCTTTAAAGAGCGTACGGCTTCTGCGGGAGGTGGGGGAAGCTGCAGCAGATTCCCTCCTCCCGGGCTCCCTTTGAGGCGGCAATGTGGGAGGGGAGCAGCTTACACTCGTGTAAGCAGCTCCTCTCCCACTTTCCGCCTTCAAAGCAACTACGGAGGAGGGAAGGAAGAGGACCATGGATCCTCTGCTGCTGGAGGCTTCAGCAGATTCCCCCCTCCGTGATTGCTTTGAAGCAGGAAAGTGGGAGGGGGGCAGCTTACACTCGTGTAAGCAGCTCCTCTCCCACTTTCCTCCTTCAAAGCAACTACGGAGGAGGGAAGGAAGGGGACCATGGATCCTCCGCTGCTGGAGGCTTCAGCAGATTCCCCCCTCCGTGATTGCTTTGAAGCAGGAAAGTGGGAGGGGGGCAGCTTACACTCGTGTAAGCAGCTCCTCTCCCACTTTCCTGCTTCAAAGCAACTACGGAGGAGGGAAGGAAGGGGACCATGGATCCTCCGCTGCTCACGGCTGCAGCGGATTCCTCCTCCGTGATTGCTGGGAGCTTCTCTGGGCAGGAATTCCCTCAGCTTAAGTGGGGTGGGGGAAGTGTGGCAGGTAGGGGGGTACCTACCTAGACACTGAAGCCACATGTCTATTAGATGAAAATTGGGAGTGGGCATTGTGTGAAGTGGCTGTGGATCTCCTGCCGCAGAAGTGTAGGACTGTATAGAGTTGGGAGGGCCACCCAAGGGTCATCTAGCCCAGCCCCCTCACAATGTAGGAATCACAGCTAAAGAACGCCAGGCAGATGGTCCCCCAACCGCTGCTTAAAAGCCTCCAGTGGTGGAGACCCCAAACACCTTCCGAGGTCATGGAATTGCAGGGTTGGAAGGGAACCCCAGGAGTCATCTAGTCCAGCCCCGGTGGACAGCAGGCGCAATCCATCCCATTGCGCAAGACTAAAGATGCTGCGCAAGGCTAAAGAAGAAGCCAAGGCAGTGAGCGGGATGGATCGCGCTTGCTGCCTTGTCTTCTTCTTTAGCTGCACTGGAGAGGTTTAGCTCCTGGCTGGAGAGGTTGCGCGGCTATGGACCCCGCACGCTGTCTTGGCTTCTTTGCTCTTTGGGGCTGGGGGGGGGAACCCGGGCTTCCCCCGCAGCCCCAAGAAGCTCTGGGAGAAGTGGACAGGCTGCGTGCAGCCTGTCCGTTGCTCTTTGGGGCTGGGGGGGGATAATATTTTTTTCCTTGATTTCCCCCTCTAAAAACTAGGTGCGTCCTGTGGTCCGGTGCGTCCAATGGAGCGAAAAATACGGTATATCTCTTCTGAATTTATTTATTTTTAAGTGTCCACATGTTCTGGAAAGTCTCTGATGCTATATTTCTTCTTTCCCACCAGTGTTTATAAGAGGTAATCTTTTTCTGTAGCATACAGCTCCATATCATCTCTTTCCATTGGTCTGGAGATGACAACATATCTATTTCCCATGCTTTTGCCAGCAGCATATATGCTGTAGTTAATATTGGCATGACTCATGCTATATGTTCCTTCCTGAGTTGACTTTTTATTGCTCCCAATAGCACAACACGAAGTTTTAACTGAATCAAATATCCAGAAATATCTTACTCCCTGCACTATCTGTAATCTTTTCAATTTTTTTAACCTGAGGCTATTCCCACCAAATGTGGGCAAATGTCCCACATTTGCATCTTAGCATGCATCAGGCATATTTAGATATATTATGGCTATTCTATACAGTATTTTATTAAAAGCATTTCCTTGAATTCCTTGAATTTTTTCTTTGTAGCGGGGGCACGCTTATCTGAATAACAACAACAACAACATATTTCTGTCCCTCTGCTAATCTGTTATGCAACATATGAACATCTAAATATTGAGCCGTGTTGCAACTGCAGCAAGCCTGTAGTCTTTAGAATGGTAATATGACTTTTGAGGTTTAGTGTCTCTCAAGGTGATGTGACCCCATATCCCCATTGGGCTGCAAAGGGATCTATGCATCACTAGCACATAACTGTACATGTGCTTTTGGTTTGCCAAGCTACAGTAGCCTTGGTTGAAAGAAATGGGGACCTCACTTGAGTAAAAGTCATAAGAACCACAACATAAACCATTGTGGATTTTGTTGTTGCTCTTGTTGGTTCTACTGACCTCCTATGAATTATCAGCGGGTCTCTGACAGAGACTTGACTCCAAAGCTGACACATTATGGTGGCAAGTATGACCACTTTTCCAGGAAGCATAATACAGTACTGTGTATGATTGGATTTAACTCTTGAATGTAGCAATATATGTAGCTGAATAGTTCTTCAATCAGTCTAAAGGCGACAAATAATTAGGGAATATCAAACTTCTGTGATCCACAACCTGTTTTCCTCAAAATTAGAAAGTTTGCAAACTATTGTACTCGAATCATGAAATAATGCTGTTTTAAAAATCTCCTTCAGTTTTGAACTTTCATCAGTTCCACTGTGAGGTATGCACTGCCCTATGCCAAGAATTCCATGGTAACTGTGATGCCTTGCAGTGGTGCCATTTGATGAATAGAAAAACCTGACTCTTCCTAGCATGCAACTGCATGTGATATGGTTTTCAAAACTTTAAATGTGTTTACCTAAGCACCAATAAAGTAGTGTTTGGAGTAAATTGTGTATTTCCAGTTGAACCTAGTATATTAAATCTCTGATGTCGTACGTTTACATGTGTTGGATCCATGTAATCGGACATATTTCATGGTGAGGTATGTTTCATTCATAAAGGTTAACCAGGCATCACTTGGGGGGGGGATGAAATATTTAGGGGATGTAAAAGATGTTTGTATTATCCAAGTAAAGCAGGGTTCTGGAAATAGGTGGTGGAGGCCTTGAAACAGAAGCAGATTTGAATTTCTCACACCAAAAGAAACCCACATTTTTAAGATCCTCTCATGGAAGAAATTTGCAATAATTAAGTTTCACCCCCTAAAATGGTATTCCTTGCTATGGGGTGTCAGATAGCTGCTGCACCTGCTACTCCTTCCTCTCCCTCTCCCAGGACGATGTCTACAAAGGCACATTGCAAAGGTCTCAGACAGTCCTGAGTTGAAACGTCCCTCCCTCGTCCTGTGCCCAACTGTGCTAAGGCTGCCTCTGATGCCGATTGCTCTGCAGAGAATATGCATCAGAGGAAGAGCTGGTTCTTGAATACATTTTCAGCTTGACAAGAAAATGTTTGGGAAAGCGCTCACTGAAGCATTTTCTTCATGCACAACAAAGGCTGAAGAAGGGACAAGCAAGGTCAATGTCTCAAATTATGCTCAATTATTTATTACACTGTGCTCTTATACGAACAGAGTGTAGTTCAATATGTTAACGCCGCACAGGCTACACCTCCCTCTTATTGACTGAGACTAAAAACAAAAGGAGGGTAGAGGGCTAATGGGTATGAATAGAGGAGTGGAGAGATTACTTACTCCTGGCCAAAGGACTATGAACAGATGCATTTCCAGAGGAGAGAGATCAACCGAGTGCCTACTAAATGTTTCATTTTAATTACGTGGAGAAATTTCTAATGCTGGTTTGCACTCTGTAGTAACTGGAATGTGGCTATGTCTCTGTGTTGGTGGCAGTGTTTAAAAACATTATTTTAAGCAATAAGGAAAATCCCAAATGTGAACCAGGATGTGGCGAGGCATGGCTATCTCCCAAGTTAGAAGGCTGAGGAATGACCTGTGACTAGTTAACCGTTCAGATTGTGCATGGCCCGAAAGGTTTTGTGATGACTGGGTAAAATTGTGACAGGTCAAACAAAGAGCCAAGCAGTAAAGTTCTAGAAGAACTCATTTTAGTCAGTAGGGTGGATCTAAAGAATCGTGAATAGAAGAAGTAAGTTAGCTACCACTGCTGTTAAGCACTTGTTTAAGCACTAGGAGAAGAGTTCATTCAGTCAGTGACCTGGTTACCTATATAAACTTGCCTTTCATGCTGATTCTCTTTTTAATTTTGTCTCTTTTAAGTTGCTCAGATTAGCACTTAAGTTTCACATCACCCAATCTAAGGCCGACAATCTAGTCACTTATCTTCAGGCTCTCAGATATTAAATATATCTTTCTTATATGTTTGGGGTTTTTTAAAATCTGTGCTGGAATGTACTGTTAAGTTCATGTATCCAGCAGTACTGTTCACCACTGAATTCCTTTCCCCCTCTAGGTCTTCTTGTGGGAACTCTTGATGTTGTGCTGGATTCAAGTGCAAGGGTAGCGCCATATCGAATTCTTTACCAGGCTCCGGACTCTATGATATATTGGACTATTGCCTGTGGTAAGTATTTTAACAGTGGCTAAAATTACCAGTTTCTTAGAGGACTGGATGTTCCATGTAGCTCATAGGAGTACTGAATTGCATACTGTCATGATGACAGGCATCCCCTCACATACATGGGGCCCCCACATGAATAAGTGAAATGACATAAAGTGGGGAGCACCCTACTTTAATAGGAAGGGTCTGCAGGGAGGAGAGAGAGAAAGAAAGAAAGAGATTCATGTGTGCCGCTGGGGCTGTTGCCTGGAAGTCGCTAAGGGCCGCTACCTAGCCTGTCCCAAGCCTTCTCTTGATCGGAGCCCTGAATGGCGCGCCTTCCATCCTTTCCAGGAAGGAAGACCAATTTATTTATTTATTTTGCAGTGACCCATATAAACGTCTTCTGTGAGTGGAAGACGTGTAAATGCCTGTACAGTGGTACCTCGGGTTAAGAACTTTATTCGTTCTGGAGGTCCGTTCTTAACCTGAAACTGTTCTGAACCTGAGGTACCACTTTAGCTAATGGGGCCTCCCGCTGCCACCGTGCCGCCGCCGCACAATTTCTGTTCTCATCCTGAAGCAAAGTTCTTAACCTGAGATACTGGGTTAGCGGAGTCTGTAACCTGAAGCGTCTGTAACCTGAGGTACCACTATACTGTGTGATGACATCGAACTTGAGTAGCAGGTCATTTATGAGATCCAGGCTCTGAAATGCTAAAAAGTTATTTTCCATTTAATCTTCTGTAACTATCAGAACCGGGCGATTAACCCCATCAAACTTTTGTCTATAATATGACATTGCTGTTACTGGATTTTATCCAGATTTACTCATGCTTAGATTAGACGAATTGAAGGCAGTGGGTACAAATTAGTCGTGACTAAACCCCATTGATTTGTATAAGTGTACTCAAAGCACGGTTGAGTCTGGATCCAACCCATTGTGTTGCATTGTAGCCTGTTGTAATCTAGTGAGATTATATTGAGCAATGGCTGTGGTCTATTGTAGATGTAATACTGTCAAACTCTTAAGACACTTAAGAACAGGATACCAAGCTGTGTACAGATACTGTTCCCACATTTCCTCCCTTATGTGGAATTTTTTGCTCCCTTTCCTTGTAAGCATTGACTATGACAAGGGTAATAAACTCTGGCTAGTATTAGCTATTTTGACATTGTTGCAGTTTTATGTAATGATCAGCATGGCAATCAGCACCTATTGGGGGCCATTGGTGAGGTGATCAGTGCCCGGAGGGCAGGGCAGCGATCCACCCAGGGAGATTTTGTCACCCCCCTCAGGGATGACACCTGGGGCCGACTGCTCCCACCGCCCCCCTTCCTACGCCCCCCTGTGTGCAGGTACAGGTGGGCCACACTTTTCATTAAATAATGTGTCTCTTACATTCCTTTTATGAAAATATATTTGAGTGCCCTAATTGTCTTTCCCGTAACAGAATTGCTAGTGGAAAGAGGGGAACAAAGCTGAGAAATATTAGTATTTTTCTTTTTTGGAAAAAAATAAATACATTCCTGTTTCAGAATAAATAAAATTCCTGAGAATAGCAAGCAGGAACAACAACAGCAACAACAAAAAGTTTGGAAGTGTGACGGCAGTTGTATCCATATTTAGAAATAGTGAATAATAACCTCAGCTTTAATAATCCATATATAAAAAATAATTCAGACGATGACTACAGATACTGTGATGGTAATGGCATGGTAAGTCTGCATTTTATTGCTCCACAGGAGGCAAGACATCATCATTTTGCATCTCTCTGGCGATTTTAAGTGCATTACCTATACGTTGTGTTATGGCTCTTTTGTAGGTGTGTAAAAAGCCATGGAAAGAATAACTCGGTCTTTAAAGCCACATCCGGAGTTATAACAATACAATTTCATGCAGTAATTGCAAGCAAAGCCCAACATGATGATCACATATGGGCCTTTGCTGCCGCTGTTTAAATTATGTAGGCTCTCAGAAATGATTTGTGTTGAAAAGGCAGAGCAGAAATGCCAGGCCTCCCTGGAAGCTGCAGAGAATGATCTCATTCCTCATCAGCCGAGCTGGGCTAGAGATAAGCTTATGTTTGCAATTCCCAGGAAATCATTTCACTACTGTGTTAGCTTTCTAATTTTGTGGCTAGGAAATAATTGATTTCCACATACCTATGCCTTCCTGGCACTGTTGGAGCAAGCTCTTGAGTGATTTATATAATATGTACTGTATAACTTCTATTCATTCAGGAGTTCAGTGTAATCTATGGGCATAATTCTGTTGACATGAATCACTTAAAACCCATTGATTATAATAGGAGGGAGTTAAGCCCACCTTCCTAGTAAGTCCACAGATTATTTTAGCCTTTGGGGGGCTAGCAGAGGATGGACTATGAGCTTTCTCCCTCCCCTAGCAGTACACTGTATTTTACCTTGGACACAGAGTATGCGGATTCTGTTTTCTGACATGCTCCATGGTTTCTATTCTGGGTTTAAATTAAGGATGGAGCACTCACCTGCATGAAATTCATTGTCTGCCAAACCTAGCAGGCAAGTACTTAAATGCAAGACTAAGTGAGGTACACGCTTAAATGTATCTGATTGAATTGTACCCTATTTACAGAACGTATTTGCAGGGTAATTATTTCCAAAACTAGAAGAGAGAGCTTAGAGGTCTGTCCTTGTTTCTACTTTTGGGTCAGGGGGAAGAGACAGTGCTGCCAAGTTACTTCAGCAATAATGTTCTAACTTTTATAATGCCATTTAGAAGTGACTCTAAATTACCATTACCATTCTAGGAGAAAACCAAGGGCTCAAGGATAAGCAGAAAAATTAGTTTGCAGAAAACTGCCAGTCTAGTAAAGTCTATTCAGTCCACAGATCATGCAGGTCCAGTTGTTAAGATCATTTGGCCCCTGAATGCCGCTCTCATCTCTCCTACACTTTCATGCCCCTGGAAGGAAACTCACAAGCTTTCACTTCCTGTTTCAAACAAACCACAGTTTCCCATGTTATCCAAGTTCATATAACTCTGGTTTGTTTTAAACTATGAGTAGTAAGAACAAGCCAGGATCACACTATGGTTTCATTTCCTGCCTTGTTTGGAAAGTATAGGCAAACTACACACCCTAAAGTTCAGACCTCATGAGGAACCGTGTTTTGTTTAAGATGGGAAGTGAAAACTTAGCAAGGCATGCTAAGGAGGGGAGGGAATGGACGGTTAAGTCCAGTCAAAGGCGAATATGGGGTTGTGATGTGACAGAAGCCAGAGCGCATGGAAATGCCATTTACCTTCCCGCCCCAGCGGTACTTATTTATCTACTTGCACTGGTATGCTTTCAAACTGCTAGGTCGGCAGGAGCTGGGGCAGAGCAATGGGAGCTTACCCCGTTGCAGGGATTCAAACTGCTGACATTCTGATCAGCAAACCCAAGAGGCTCAGTGGTTTAGACCACAGTGCTACCCGCTGCCCTAAGAACTATGTCATGTTCATATGGCAGGATACCATGGCTTCTTGTTACAACTGAAGTGGGCCGTGGTGTTCTCTTGAATTAAATTACTCTTCTGTACTGGTTTGCTTTAAAATGCACAGTATTCTATGTTGGGTTTGTTTTGGTTTGGTTTGGTTATCCAATAAACATACTGTTGCACACCTATCCATAAATATATTTATTTATTTTTGCTTTATGATGGTCAAATTCCAGACATAATCTAGCAATTTATCCTGTTCTTGTCTTAGGTTGTTCAAGGAAAGAAATAACTGAGCACTGGGAATGGCTTGAACAGAATTTACTACAAACTCTTTCGATCTTTGAGAATGAAAATGACATAAACACATTTGTCAAAGGAAAAATACAGGTAGTGTATATATATTGTCAGCACAGTTAATTATCTTCATGACCAGGAAAAAACTATTATACAAGCTTGTCCTTTATACTTGATTTGCTGGTTTGTGTACTTCTCTGTTTTGGTAAGCGCAGATTCCAGTCAGCTTCATTATCTAGTTTAAGGAAACAGGCATCAGTGTAAACAGACACATTGGTATTATCAAGTTGCATAGATACGGGTGAGATCACATAACTATCTTCAGGTTTAGCAATCGACTTATGCTAGCCACGTGGAATTTCAGAATTTTTATCTTGTAACAGCAGAACACCTCCCCATCAACACATCACTCTTTTTTTCTTTTTAATCTTTTGCAATCAGTTTACCAAAACAGGTTTACCATGTGGCTTGGGATGCTATTGTTTGAGAGGGAGTAAGGCCAGGTCCTTTCTTAGCAGAGAATAACTAGTTTGTTTGGTAGTTTGGGAAATCCATATGGCCAAGATCTAATCTCTTGAGATGCCCTGTGTAGGTTAGATTTAACAATTAAGGTTTTGTCTTGCAGCACTCTCCTCTTTGTTGCTTTGGTAACTTAGAATAGCAAAGAGTCTTGTGATACCTTAAAGGCTAAAATTGATAACACGGCAACACAGCTGAAATGACAAAAGCTTTTGTTTGTCTTTAATATGCCACCAGAGGTATTGTTTTTGTTGCAACAAACTAGCATGGCCACTCCTCTGGATTTTTTTTTTAATATTTTTTTATTAAGTTTTCCATTTAACAATCCAATCACATCACATTAATTATTCCAGATTATACCAATACATATCATAAAGTCCAAATATTTTGCCAAATGATATATTTTTGTTGGGGGTTCCCATGCTTCGAGTTCAGTAAGGGTCCAGTCATCTCATATTTCTGCTGCTTTTAGTGTTCACCAGTCCCATCTTTCAATCTTCTTGTTGTTATCCTTTTTCTTCTTAATAGCCAGTTGTTTCCACAGGCGAGTTAAAGTAAGCAATATTATGCTTCTGTGTGAACTTTGTAAGGCTCTCCCTTTTTTTTTAAAGCTCCTCTGGAAATTGTTAGTGTGATTTATGTGCATCCTGTGGTTTCTGAAGGCAATAGAACAGCCTTTCCCAACCTTGGGCCCCCAGACTTTCTTGGACTGCCATCACCCCTCACCACTGGCCTGATGAGAGGTGTAGTCCAACAACAGGCAGAAAGACTCCAATGGAACATACGGACCAGGGGTGTGGCCTTGCAGAAATTGCTGGACTACAGCAGTGGCAGACTTTGGGCTTTCAAATTTCAGCAGCACCCTGTGCAATGCCAAAATTCAGTGCCCCCCACCTCTTGCTTAATGTTTTACACCATTGTTGTAGTATCCTCTCGGCTCAGCGCCCATTGCAGGAAAACTGGTCATGCTTTCCTAAATCCACCTCTAACTTCTGCTCTCATTATCCTTGACCATTAGCCATGCTGGCTGGGGCCTAAGGGATTTCCAACCCAACAATATCTGAACGGCTATGGATTCCCCAACCCTGATGCAGACTCATCTGGTCAATCTGCTAATTTGACTACAGCCCCACGTCTTTGCAGTATGCCAGTTGGGTTGCGTACTGAAAATGTGTTCTCTTCCTCTCCCCAAACCTTTTCTTTTTTTAAATGCTGGAATTTTGAACTCCATAGCACACATATATTTTGGGGGGAAGCCAAACTGTCCTGTCTGATCTTCTGCTTTAGGGCATCATTGCAGAATTTAACAAAATTAATGGTATCAAGGAGGATGACGACACTGAAAAATTTAAGGAAGCCATAGTGAAATTCCACAAACTGTTTGGGATGCCGGAGGAAGAGAAGCTGGTGAATTACTACTCCTGCAGTTACTGGAAAGGGAAGGTGCCTCGTCAGGGCTGGATGTATCTCAGCATTAACCACCTCTGCTTTTATTCCTTCCTCATGGGACGGGAAGGTATGAATGAGAGACTTCGGTTTCTATTAATCTTTGTGTGTGTGTTTTGAAGTTGGTGGTTTAGAACGATACACATAGTCATTGTTTGTGGGCTTGATGTAGTACAGGAACTGGCGACAGCACATGGACCACTAAACTATGTTTTATCCTTCTAGTTAGAGTTGCCCGTTCATTTTAAGTGTCACTTATGTGGAGACCTGGAACATTCTGGCTTTAGGCTTGGTGTTACGGTAGCAATATATGATGCCCAAGAAGTATGGCGAGGGGGCAAAGTGTCCCTTCCAAAAGCTGACCATGTTGAAGAAAGCCTGCAGTCACATCCTCATGGATGTCAAGCAGAGGGAAAAGTGGCCTGATGGTCTGAAGTGGCTGTGCTTAATCCTTATTTGAATGAGTTTTCATTGCTCAGGTTTAAGAAACAGACACTGGGTGATGTATTTGTCAAGGAGTGGAAGCAATATATAAGCAGTGATTACGGACAAAAGAGCTAAATCGTATACAATTGAGTTTGTTCATAAACAATTTTAGTTTCTGCCTCAGGGCAGTTGGTGATAACTCAAGCACACACACATTCACAGAACCTTCACCATTTGTGTGGTCACTCTCTATAAGATGTTTACAGCTTTATACTGCAGACTATCTGATTAATGGCACCTTGCGTGATGAGCAATCAGCTCATCAACATCCTACTGCCAGGATAATTACAGACATTCTTACTTCCTGAATCCATCATGAGATTCACAGCAGTGGGGAACCTGTGGACTTAACATGTTGTTCGATTCAAAATTCCCAGCCGCAGACAGCATGCCCAGTGGTCAGGGATGATAGGAGTTGGGAGTCCATACACACCTGGAGGGCCTCAGGTTCCCCATTCCTGTCCTATAGTGTGTTGTGGTGTTTTTGCCTATAGTGGATTAAGTTACTGCAGGGAGCCCTAGTACTAATGTATTGTATGTCTCATATTTGTTTTTCCTATTCCAACACTCTGGACTGATTAGAAGGAGGTTTCATTCTAGTGTACATTGTGTGTAGGGACAGCTGGCTGATATGAGAACATAAGCACATATTGCTCTTTCTGTAGTCCGGACAGATGCCTCCAGGAAGCTTACAAGCAAGGCATGAATGGGATAGCCAGTTCCTGTTGCTTGTGCACAGCAACCTGGCACTCAGTGGTTATAATGCTTTTGTACTTGGTTCCAGTTAACTATATTGACTATTAATTGTAGAGAGCCTGATCTTCTTTGAGCTTGGGCTAGTTCACTTTTATATGGGGTGAAGCACAGCAAGCCCAAGCAAAGCAGCAGGCTCTTGCTCTCTCCCTCTTATCCTCCCTGGAAGGAGGAATTGCTAAGTTGACTTCCATTTTCAAAGGATCTCAGCCTTAGAATGATGTGTGAACCAACCAAAGCTGGTTAGTTGTACAAACTAGTCCAACAATCCTGTTTGTTCACCCATAGCTTGAAGTTGGCTTGTTTGCAAACTAAACATTGGTTGTGTAGAATTTTCCTTTTTAAAAAAATGAGATTATTTGAAACTGAAAGTATGCATGGCAGAATTCTTAAATTGTTGTGTTTCTGACAAAACGGACCCACTAGCACCAAGTGCAGCACTGTACTGAGGCGACAGTCCTAAACACAATTAGAATGAAAAAAACCCCCACTGAAAGTAGTGACACTTACTTCTGCATAAACATGCACTGTAGAGCCCTGAAACAAGATAATGGTAGAAGTGCATAGGGTTGTTAAAACGCTTGCTGTTTTATCACCAGTGGTTTTTGGATTTGAAAATGTTGAAAGGTCTTGTTCTCTGCTTACTCTTGATTTCTTTTCATTAGCCAAGCTAGTCATCCGGTGGGTTGACATCACCCAGCTTGAGAAGAATGCGACTCTGCTTTTACCTGATGTGATCAAAGTTAGCACAAGGTCCAGTCAGCATTTCTTTTCAGTCTTCCTCAACATCAATGAAACTTTTAAGCTAATGGAACAACTTGCCAACATAGCCATGAGACAGCTCTTGGACAATGAAGGCTTTGAGCAAGACAGGTCATTGCCCAGACTTAAAAAGAAGTCCCCCAAAAAAGTATCTGCACTAAAACGGTAGGTTTCAAAGTCACATATATCCCTGTATTTCAAAGCTCTGTATACAATAATAGCCCTGTCAAAATAACAGCATTCTGCAATGGACTGTTATAGGCCCTTTGACCTTAGCAGAATGTAGTTAGAATTAAGCATGTAAAGACTGAAGCTGTTTGAAATGGAGACTAAGGACTGGTGCACAAGGTAAGGGCCTTTTTCTACGGTGGCTCCCTAACTTTGGAATTCTCTCCCCAGAAAGAGGCATATCAGGTGCTGACACTACAAGCTTTTTGTTACCAGATGAAAACCTTCCAGGTGTTTTAAACACCTCCTGAACTTTCTTGAAGCTGGGGAAAGCCCTCCTCACCCAGCAAAGAAAACCAGTGGGCATCTGGAGGAAGAATGGAAGGCTTCATCCTTCATCCAGTGGCTTCTTACATTTCCATGCTGGCCTCTTCCTGTGCATCCAGTATAGAAAAGAAAAGGGCTTGTGGTGGAGCAGGCCTTCCGTCCAATGGCAGTCCTCTTTGTTTATATGCACAGGAGGCAAAGCTTCATCCTGCATGGAAGTGCATTGGCTCAATAAATAAGGAGGAGGAGTAGAAGGAATGCAGGGAATGCTCTGTTCTTCCTCCACCAACCTGCAGTCTTGCAACATTTTTTATTAGCCTGCTTTTTACTCATAAGGGTAAATAAAGAGAGCCAGCTGTCCTCTTATAAGTAAAAAGCAGACAAATATTTCAGGCTAGTGATTTTTGTGGTGTAATTTATAAGACTGTCAGAAAGCATGAATATAAATGAAGCATACAAACATCAGCACCGCTATGACAGATTTCTCCCATAGAATATCATTTCCTGGTGTTTTATTTGTGCTTGTGCAGAATTAATTTACAATGTACATTTATCTAATCTGTTGAAGACATTCGCATGCACATTGAATTTTAATATGAACAACGAAACTTTGAACTGCTCACTTCAGGGATCTTGATGCCAGAGCAAAGAGTGAAAGGTACCGTGCTTTGTTCCGGCTTCCGAAGGATGAAAAGTTAGATGGACATACCGATTGTACCCTCTGGACTCCATTTAACAAAATGCACATCTTGGGTCAGATGTTTGTGTCTACAAATTACATCTGTTTCACTAGCAAGGAAGAAAACCTGTGCAGCCTCATCATCCCTCTACGAGAGGTGGGTATCAAGTCTGCCCATTTTTATTATACCATGTAAGTCAAGTTCGGGGCGTGGGTGGCGCTGTGGGTTAAACCACAGAGCCTAGGACTTGCCGATCAGAAGGTTGGCGGTTCGAATCCCCACAATGCGGTGAGCTCCCATTGCTCGGTCCTTGCTCCTGCCCACCTAGCAGTTCGAAAGCACGTCAAAGTGCAAGTACACAAATAGGTACCACTCCGGCAGGAAGGTAAACGGCGTTTCCGTGTGCTGCTCTGGTTCACCAGAAGTGGCTTAGTCATGCTGGCCACATGACCCGGAAGCTGTACGCCAGCTCCCTCGGCCAATAAAGCGAGATGAGCGCCACAACCCCAGAGTCGGCCACGACTGGACCTAATGGTCAGGGGTCCCTTTACCTTACCTAAGTCAAGTTCACGGGCTCCTTAGCTTCCAGGGAGCATCTCAGCAATGAACTCCATTGCTTGCTTAGTATAATTTACAACAAACTGACACTGTCTCTGCATTAGAATCCCTCCATTTCTGGTCCTGTCAATATTATTATTAGTAGTAGTAGACATCTGGCCGGTCACTGTGAGAACAGGATGCTGGACTAGATGGGTCATTGGCCTGATCAAGGGCTACTTTCATGTTCTTAGGAAGGACTATTAAAACACTTTCCCTTTTAATTGGAAATATGCATTGTTAATGTGGCTCTCTTGCATTATGAACAGATCTATGGCTTATATAAAGGAAGTAAGAACCTGGTTGGGAGAAGTATTAAGACAACATCATTTAAGTAACTGAGACATAGCTGCTGATATTTCAATACAATTTAATAGGATATGTTAAATGAAAGGGAGGATGGCAACAAATTACCCTTTCTGCTACATTAAAACTGTAATAATGCTTGGCCATAGATCATTAAAATAAAAAACCCTGCAAACTGAAACTAAAGCCTCTGTACATTGAAACGCCTATTATCCTGAAGTGCCTAATGCAATTTTTATTGCTTCTGATAAGCTATCTGGAAGCAGTGGTTTAAAGCTTTTTAAAACTTTTCTTCATGGTCTTCAGAAGGGTCTCTGAGCATACTGTTTTCATTTCTAACTAATGCACTGTTCCTGAAATGAAAATCTCACAACTACAGAGAGAGAGAGAGAGAGAGAGAGAGAGAGAGAGAGAGAGTTACACATTTAATTGTATATGAGCCAATGTTAAGACTTAGGAGCAGGACCATATCTCAGAAATAGAACCATATTTCACATACAGAAGGTCCTTGGTTCAGTCCCTCCAATCTCTAGTTAAAAGTGTTCAAGCAGCAGATGATAATGAGAGACCGTGTAGAATCATTGCCATTCAGAATAGGCAATATTGGTTTAGAGAGAGAAATTCTCTGACCTGGTATTAGGCAGTTTTCTATATTCCTGGCATTAGCACAGTTTGGGGCAAGAGACTGTCACTAAATGAGACAACCTGTCTCCATACTACTCTTAGATTTCTGCTACCACCTTGTACCTTGCTTTTGCTCTGGCCAGTTTTGTTCTGAAATGCAGATTTCCTAAATGTCTGAAACATCATCGAATTGCTAAATCGCAGTAGCGCTCTTTTCGAGGGATATTTACTCACTTCTTTGCTGAATAACAAAATGTTACAGCTCTCAGAGTTCCTGGAAGAAAATTGTACCTCTTCCCTTAAGCCCTCATCCTTAGGTGCCTCTGGTAGACCTGCTCAGACTGATAGATCTCATAGATTATTTAGTCTTATATCATAAGACTGTGATCCTTGTGCAGCTCCAGAAGTGTGCAGAAATGGATACATGGAAAGGCCATAAGATATTCAGCTTCACTGCTGTGAGGGTGCCTTAGAAAATGATTAGATAATCCAATTGTATTTAAGATTGTGCCATTGCCAGATGTTTGGAATATGACCAATTTGTATGTGTGTATTTTCTTTTGCCCTCCTCTCCCTTAGGTGACTATTGTAGAAAAGGCTGACAGCTCTAGTGTATTACCTAGCCCATTGTCTATTAGCACCAAAAATCGAATGACATTTCTCTTTGCCAATTTAAAAGACAGAGACTTTCTGGTTCAGAGAATTTCTGATTTTCTCCAGCAAACTACTTCCAAAATATACTCTGAAAAAGAGATTTCTGGCAGTTACAACAGCTCAGATGATGAGGTGAGTAGATGTCGTCAATGTCAGGAAGTATTCAGTTAATTTCAGATTAGTAAAATTATATAATTTCAAGTAGCTGCTCCCAAGTAATAAATTCTGTGTAAAGATTCCTTTTTGCAGAACTCCATTGACATTAGGTTGTTTTGATCTTCTTAATAAATTGCTGAACCAAACATTTAGGTAGGCATATGGTTAAACCCTTTCATGCCCATCTTTCATCTAAGAATGCACATCAACCATTGACTGTTTGGAAATGCTTTCATATCAGTCTTTTCCTGGACATGTAAAACTTGCACATTGGTCAGAAGGCTGCTGCTGCATTCTGATAGTGTAGGGTGTAAAATTGTGTATCATGTACTTCCCTGAAAATCTTATGTTGGCTTTTAAGCACATGTATGATCAATGTTTTGTGGGAAAGAAAACTGCTTGGACATAATAAATGCCCTCTGAAAGCATAATGGCACCTCTGATAGCTGCATTCACAAAGCAGTTATGGGGATATCTATGGAAATATATGCTAGTCCATATGATAGAGGACATAGTCTGCACAGAAAAAAGTCTTTACACCATGTTATCTACTTGCCACACAGTTGCCCTGTGACTTGCATGTATCAGAGGTGCCCGTTCACTGCATCAAAAGCCTTTTCCATACCACAAAACTTATAAATGAGTGGTGTCAGGGCTCCTAAAGTTATGCTTTGACTCAGAACCCCTGTTCCCTAATACAAGAGGGTTTGGAGACGAGCTGTGGCTACATTCAAGTAATGAAAAGAAGATCTTTGCCCATAATTAGAGGCACTATCCTGTTGTTTCGCATTTTCTTGAAATCTGAAACAGTTATCAGGATTGAGCTCAAATCAACCGGGGTTGAATATTTGTTTCTGCACTTCTCATGTAGTGCTGAAGGGCTATGTCAGCAATATGGGGACAGCCTGTTTTAGCATGTCTTAATATCTCTCCCCCCCCTCAAAAAAAAGAAGAAAAGACTGCTTAGCTGATCACATTGGCCCAATTTGGCCAAATCATGGAGCTTCAAGTTCATAGCAGTGGTGATGGGAGTGGTGGCACTATAGCTTACCTGGACAGGGCTGGGGACAGGATGATGGCCTGCTCAGGTGTGTGCAGATGCAATGGTGCAACTAATTTAACACTCCTGGTGCTGCATCTGAACAGCCCCAACCTTACCTAACCATGCCAAGGTAAGCTGTAGCAAGGCCAGTGTTGGGAGAGTGGCTCTATGGCTCTGCCTCACCATACTGACCATTAGTGCTTTGCATACTTTGGTTCCCTCAATTATAAGATTGCTTGGGTGTGTGGGAACCAAAAAACACACAGGCCAAATACTTGGATGCATAACTACTACCTGTGGTTTGGTGTTGCATCGTAAACCCCGTCTATGTGTATATTAGAATTAGACAAAGACACAGTCTGGCGCATGGAGACTGAGTAATCTCATCAGCAACTGTTAACTCTGCGTCCCAGAACCTTGGTTTCAGAAAAACCAAGTATCCTCTATTAAAAGAGGTTATCTGCTTTTAAGGTTAAATGTTGGGAAGGGGAGAGGAAATATTTACCCATATTCAGAAGATATCCTCTTGTCTGGAAAGTTGCCTAATGCTGGTGTCAGCAGAATGCCAGCTATTGACTGCTGAATGTATGCCAACTTGGAAATGAAATACAAGGCAGTAAAAACCCAGCAGAAAGTACATGATGGAGTGCACATAAAATTGCAGTAATTAATTATAAAAGTAATTTGTTTATACTACAAATGGATTCTAATGAGTTTGGAGAAATGACCAAATGACCAAGACTGAAGATTTTAAGACATAGTGTCTAGCTTGTCAAATCATAAAATTATGGTCAGATTTTTTTTTAAAAAAAGTGGCAACAAGCCATTTAAAAGTTCACCTCTTTGAATCAGATGATTTAGTTAACTGTATTTGTCTTTTGACATGTGCTATTTTTGAGCATGACTGATTTAATAATGGCTGGAAGTATAAATACTTTCACAGTCTTGGAAAGGTCAGTAAGCAGTCAATGGTCCCTCAGTTCCTGCTTTCGGCGCAATATGGTCATGGGGCTTCTTTCAGCTGTGGGTCCAAACAACTTGTGATGCACTAAGCCAAGTTCCCAAAGAGGTAGCCGTGTTAGGTTGTTGCAGCCAAAACAGCAGAATTTTGTGGTACCTTAAAGACTAACACATGTATCATGGTAAAGGCTTTTCCCACAAACTTTGGCAGGCAGGGAAAAGCAGCTAAGACAGTGATTATTTGTGTTAACGCTCAAGTGTATGCAAAATAATTACCGTACTTAGATATTCATGAAACACTGTTGATAACAGAAGCATCCTGGCATTGATAAATTAATTCAACACCTGTAGTGGGATTAGAACCTGTTATTTCAATTCAAGCCACAAGTGATAGATTGAACATCTTGAAAGTGCTAATTCAGCAGCTTTTACCCTACTCTGAAATTTCCCATTGAAGTTCCATTGTTTGGTTTATGCTAGCATAAATGAGCTAGTCTCTAAGATACCACAAGACGGTTTGTTGTTTTCCCCACATTAAACACAATCCTCCAGGCATGGATGGCAGTAGACTTCATGCACAGTAAGCTTTCATCTGGAACTAGGAAGTCAGAGGGGACACATAAGGGCATTGAAAAGCTAGAGACTTCTCTGTCTCTTTAAACACTTTTTAAAAAAGTCATTAAAATCAATTTAACTTAAAATGGCAGTGTTGAAAAGCTGTTCACCATTACCATTCTTGCTTGGAGATCTTGTCTCGTTTCTGCTTCCCCTTTATTACCTCCCATACGAATCTGGTTGCAGTTTGGCTTCCATCTTTTATGCTATTAAGGTGATCACTTTCACACTGTCCACAATTGCTAGTAGCACAGAACCATGGTTTACCACTACCTGGATAAGACCCAGCATGCTCCCCTTCCAAGGGACCCTGGGTTATTAAGCTGGCCAATTAAACTAACCAGAGGTTTGTTGCCTTTGATTATTGTTTCATTTTTTAAAACCAGGGTCCCAGGTTCACTCAGACTCATTCTGGCTCATCCACATAGAGCTAAACCACAGATTAGTGCAGCATATGAATACAGCTACTGTCCCAGAGACAGAATCTGACAGACATGCATGGCAGTGCATCCATTGAATTGCCACACTGCTAACAGGAGGATATGATTACAGGAGGGCCACAAGAGGCCCACTGCAATATTGCTTCCCCCAACAAGCTGATCATCTCTGATAAGAGAGCTGTTGCACATTTAGTTTGCCCAGTGCTTTTACCAATTAAGTTTCTGGGAGCTGTTATTTATACAAAGCTCCTCTTTAATAATAATAAACCCCGAAGGTGCAAATGTCTTCTGGCAAATCGCTGCTCTGACTTTGTGGACCACGGTATCCTTCAGAACTAGCATAATTTTATTGCTCTTCTAAATCAGCTCTTAGATTGCTCCTAGGTACATATTTTTAATAACCTTGCCAGTGGAAACAAAAACAAAAAAAATTCCTTCCAGTAGCACCTTAAAGACCAACTAAGTTAGTTCTTGGTATGAGCTTTCGTGTGCATGCACACTTCTTCAGATACACTGAAACAGAAGTTGCCAGATCCTTCTATATAGTGAGAAGGTGGGGAGGGGTATTACTCAGAAGGGTGGTGGGAATGGGTGATTGGCAGATAGCTGTGATGAGCCTGTTGACGACTCTTAACGACTGCAATAGGTCTTACAGGAAAAAGCAAGGGGTGAGAAGGTGAAAATTGGCTTTGTCATGTATAATGAGATAAGAATCCAATGTCTGAACAAAGTCTGAACAAAGACATTGGATTCTTATCTCATTATACATGACAAAGCCAATTTTCACCTTCTCACCCCTTGCTTTTTCCTGTAAGACCTATTGCCGTCCTTAAGAGTCGTCCTTAAGAGTCGTCAACAAGCTCATCACAGCCATCTGCCAATCACCCATTCCCACCCCCTCTGAGTAATACCCCTCCCCACCTTCTCACTATATAGAAGGATCTGGCAACTTCTGTTTCAGTGTATCTGAAGAAGTGTGCATGCACACGAAAGCTCATACCAAGAACTAACTTAGTTGGTCTTTAAGGTGCTACTGGAAGGAATTTTTTTTGTTTTGACTATGGCAGACCAACACGGCTACCTATCTGTAACTTGCCAGTGGAAGTTCATAAACATATTATGTTGCTCATTGAAAACCTTACACTTCCATTCAAATAATGTGGTGCGGCATTGGGGTGTGGGATACTATAGAAAACGTTTAAAAAATATTTTATGGAAGGATTGAATGCTTTACTGGTTGGATGCATTTGTTCTCCTTGGAGCTTGTTTCTGTTGTCCGAATGTCAGTCCTGAAATCCACTGCAGTTCCTTTATGATTTTCACAGGAATCCAGCATTGCAAACAACCATGGTGCAGGCTTCTAATTTGAAGGGGTTCAGGCTTCTGACTCGAGTGCCGTGGGTGGGGGTGGGCCATGCCTTTGAGGCTTCATGGCAGAATGCATTTGGCCAAAGTGGATTGTCTGCTGCAGTGCTGCAGTCTGGCTGCCCTTTCCTTCCCCATCCTCTGTAGTTCCAATTACTCGAGCTCAGCACAAAGGCTGGCAGCGGAGAAGGGTAGGCAGTGTGACAGGAGAAGAGGCGCGGGCCAAACTGCTTCCTGACATGTAGCTATTTAAAAACTCAGAAAGCCCTTGTGTGCATCTGCAATTCACAACTCGGTGGGTACCACTATCCTAGCACCGTGGAAACAAACTGATCCTTGCCCTTTTCCTTCCCGCACCTGAACAGTTCATAAAATTGTGGGGATTTCCCCCCTCCTCCATTCAGGTATATTCAAGGACAAGTAGCATTCTCTCCTCAAGCCCTCAAAGAAGCCTTAGTTCCGAAGCAGATGGAGAGCGGCAGTTCAACCTGAATGGCAACAGCATCCCAACTGTAACCCAGGCACTAATGACCATGTACCGGAGGCGTTCACCTGAAGAATTCAACCCTAAATTAGTAGGTCACGCCTTCTTCTTCTTCTTCTTCTTCTTTTTAACTCTCATTTGGATTACTGCATTAATTGTTGACAGATGTGAACTATACCTTCCTCATACCAGCAGTGGGTGGGAACAGATGCAGGAGTGGGCAGAGCAAGGTGACTCTTACCTTGGCACAGCAGGTTGCACTCCAGCCATGCCAAAGTGTCACAGGTTGCTACACACACCAGTCATCTTCCATCCAGGTAGGCGAAAGGCGTCATAGCAGCTCAAGGGCACATTGTACCCAGGCAAAAGCACTCATGTGGTGTTTGGGACGGAGTAGGGCCAAAAAGAGATGCCTAAAAGGCTGCATTTGGCCGCTGGGCCTGAGGTTCCTCTCCACTGACTTAGACCTATTAATTTTCCTTATGGATTCTGTTGTCAACAAGGTGGAGGGAGAGATTGATGTTGTCCAGGGGTGAGGAGCCTCAGACCCAGAGACCAAATGTAGCCTTCCAGGCCTCTCGCTGGCCCTTGGATCTCTCCACAGGTTCCCCCCCACACACACACACACCGCAGCAATATTTTCCTTGAGTGTTTTTGCCTGGCTGAAATGTGTCCTTGAACTCTCATTATTCTCCATCCAGGAAAGCAAAAAGGGCTGAGAAATGGATGTGTGTTTGTGTAGGAAACTCGCCTACTACTGTACAAAGGTAATTTGCACTCCTTGCTCTACCCACTTTTGCCACTAGCCATGCCTGCCATGGGTATGTAGCCCACAGAAGTTTTCCCAGAAGGGAATGTGGCTTTTGGGTGGAAAATGTTCCTTGCCTGCATGTCATTTTAGTGTATTTTGAAATCATCATGTCATAATAGTTAGTGCTTGTAGCTTTTTTGCAAATACGTCTGTACATGGGGACGTACATAAATGCTTAGGAGGCGACATCAAGATGAGAAAATGTCATGTTAAAAATGAGTATACTGAGAAAGCTTTGCTGAAAGAGTAGTCTGAACACCACTCCTGATAATAAAATTAAGAATTAAATAACATTTTGGGGGGTGGCTTCTTCTTTTGCATTACAGGATTGTGTTGCACAGTGTTTTTAGTTCTGTATATCGTACTCTCCATTATTTTTAAGGCAAAAGAATTTTTGAAAGAACAAGCTTGGAAGATTCATTTCGCAGAATATGGCCAAGGCATCTGTATGTATCGGACTGAGAAAACAAGAGACCTTGTGCTGAAAGGTATTCCGGAAAGCATGAGAGGAGAACTCTGGCTACTCCTGTCAGGTGGGTATCAGTAGATAACATTGTTTTATTAATGGTAAGTCAAAGGTTTCCCATATGATCTTTATCCTTCTGTGGAGTTCATTATGTTGGTGCCATAGTGGACATGTTGGCTGCAGATAAATGGAGATTGACAATTGCAGTCCTAAGTGTGTTTACTTAGAAGAAAGTCTCTCTGTGGAATTTACTTGCTGGTAATTGTGTTTAGGATTGTGGCCTAAATTGGTGAGGTATATTTTACCAACCAGTGAAAACGAAATAAGATATTTGGAAGTTCAACTTCTTGGTGGGAAAGCTGGCTTGCTGTTCACTGCAGGAAACTGTTTTTCTTTCGGGTCAATCAATAGTGTCTTCCTAGCAGCCCAAAATAATTTTGCTTCAGAAGAAGTGTACAGCAAAGCATATAAAAAGGCCCTTCACACTTCTCCTCTGTGATGTAGGCATAGGTGTCAAGTTCCACAAGGAATTTAGTTAACAGCAGGCAAGTGGACTAATTTGTACTTCATTAAATTGCTAGGGATTGACAGATACTTTTTTTAAATTAGAGAGAAATGAACTTACCAGTTAAATCTGTTCTCCTGGGTTGAGAAAAGGAGCAGTGAGAGCTTTGTCCATGCACCTGAACAGACACTTCCAATGCCCTACCTTTTTTGCTTTATATGCAGCACCAAGACAGAGAGAGACGGAACGATAGAATTCTCAGTTTGTGCAGCCAATCTGGGGTCACCTGAGGATGCCTTGCTGAAGTGCCCCCAAATCATGGAGCCAGCAGCGAGACTTATAACTCAAAGCAGGCTTTTTGTGGGCTTACATAATAGGCGTGAGAAACTATTAAGGGGATTGCAAATTTCTTATGACCTAGTTATAAGTAGCTTACCACATAACATAAAACTGCATTCTGCTATCTTATTTGAATGAACATTTCCCTCCCCCCCCTCTCTCTCTGTGTGTGTGTGTGTGTGTGTGTGTGTGTGTGTGTACACAGAAACACAAACACACTTGTTAGCTTGGCTGTATTTGGGGTTGTATACAGAATATCTTGGATTTCTCACAGTAGGCTTACCACTAAGACTGCAAAACTTTTCATAGAAGAGGAGGCAGGTGTGTTAACTCACTGTGGTAAACCAAAGGTCTATGACAGTTAACTTGAGCGTGTGAGGTTTTGTAAGAATAGGACCTGATTATTGTACTCAGTGGCTGAAATCCAAAGAATCGCTTCAGGCACATTTGAATGGTGAGAGAGTTTTTTTTTATTATTATTTTAACGGCAAACCCTTATGCCATATCACAGACTTTGTGAAAACCTTCTTCGCTTCAAAAATGATTTGCCAATTAGCATTGTGGGTGGGGGGGCATGTCCTCCTTGGGCATGCACAACTCACTGTGCAGTTGTTTTGGATCCTGGCCTATATCTGTAACCTACTTTCTCTTTTGTCAATTTTGCTCTGTTGCATTTTTAGGAGCTATTAATGAAATGGCCACCCACGCTGGCTATTATGAAGACTTGGTGGAGAAGTCTATGGGGAAATACAATCTCGCCACAGAAGAGATTGAGAGGGATTTGCACCGCTCTCTCCCAGAGCATCCTGCATTCCAGAATGAGATGGGTATTGCTGCTCTGAGAAGAGTACTAACTGCTTATGCATTTAGAAATCCAAACATAGGATACTGCCAGGTAATTCAAACTCATTTCATTTTGAAGAACCCAAATTCCTTATGCCTCTATTTATTGTTGCACACAGAGGCCAAACCTTCCATGCACTTATGGTAAATTTTGATCTAGTAGAGTAGGTTGGAAATTTTAAATCTTCCTGGAATTTAACAAGAGGGACTTGCAGCAAAATGTTGCAATATATGATCCCTTATAACAGGAATTCTCCTTTTCAAGGTCCAGCCAAGCAGGGCATGCAACTCTTCTCTTCTCCTCCCACACTTGGTCTTTTCTGGTTTTCATTTCCAACTGACACTGCTGAATATACTCAGATGATCATTGGGCTTGTGTGCATCTGGATGTTTAAGATTTTTTGGGGTGGGGTAGAACTTCTGCAAACCTCAGGGATCCCTTAGCATGCTGATACATCCATCTTGTGGCTACTACAGAACCACCAGCATCCACCACCTGGTTTGCCATTAAAGGGAGTGACTTTGGTTTAAAACTGGTGACTGGTTTAAAACTGCTGTTATGTAGTAACACAGTAGACTACTTCTCCATTTTTAGTCACATACCTTGGACTTTGAAAAGCATGGCTTTTGCCTCTGCACAGTGGCGTAGCGTGGGTTGTCAGCACCCGGGGCAAGGCAAGTAATTTGCGCCCCCTAACCCGTGGATTTGCGCCCCCTAACCCGTGGATTTGCCCTAACCCCAGATGTTGTGCCCGGTGCGGCCAGCCCCCCCTGCACCCCCCACGCTACGCCACTGCCTCTGCACATTTCCAAGGGAATGGGGAATGAGGGAGAAAGAGAGAGAGAGAGAGAGAGTCAGTGTGTGGTAACTTGTTGACATTGGCCAGGTTCAACATCTTCGAAAAATACTTTGTGGAATCACTTGCTACTTTCTGAAACTAGGCCCAAATTAGGGCTGTTGTTGATTGACTCTGTTATCTGGACCATTTAACATCTAGTATATGTACTTTTGAATGTATTTTTTTCTAGGCCATGAATATTGTTACATCGGTACTGCTTTTGTATGCAAAGGAAGAGGAAGCATTCTGGCTGCTTGTGGCTTTGTGTGAGCGCATGCTGCCAGATTACTACAACACGAGAGTTGTTGGTATGTCAAAGGAGACTTGTAAGAGCATAATCACCGGGAATTTCAGACCTAATTCTTAAGCTTCCGGAAAGTGAGGTTTGGTCTACCAATGGGGGAAGGATACTTGAATTCATTGATGCTGAATGACATTTGAGTGGCTGGGCTTATGCCTTGTGTTTTGGAGAACTGCCTTTTATAACTTGTTTCACACCATGTCCAAACATAGCCATTCCCTGTTTTGTTTCTAGTCTATAAAATATATTTTTGTTTTTAGCCTGCAAAAGTCAAAATCAATGAAGACCTTATGTTATTATGATGATCCAGTTAGAGCAATAGGACCCAGAGTAATGGATTTTTGTAATGTTTTGTCAGTTGCATGAAGCAGATTCTTTTCAATACATAAACACAATAAGTAAATTAATGATGAAAGGATGATTTCTGAGTGGCAAGATATTGTAATGTAGTGTAAGCTAATTGCAAAATTATTGCACACTGCTTTTCTAGATAGGCTTAAATGCACGTTCTATGAATCAACATTTCATATACGTCAAATACTGATTATGTCTTGCAGGAGCTCTGGTGGATCAAGGTGTCTTTGAAGAGTTAGCTCGAGATTATGTTCCACAATTATATGACTGTATGCAGGACTTGGGGGTCATCTCCACTATATCCCTTTCCTGGTTCCTCACACTCTTCCTCAGTGTAATGCCCTTTGAAAGTGCCGTGGTTGTTGTGGACTGTTTCTTCTATGAAGGCATAAAGGTGATATTCCAGTTGGCACTGGCTGTGCTAGATGCAAATGTTGACAAGTTGCTGAATTGTAAAGATGACGGGGAAGCGATGACAGTGCTTGGAAGGTAAGTTTTGCCTTTGGGAATCTCATCTACTCCAACTCCCTGCAATGCAGGAATCTCAACATGCAGCGCCCCCCCCCCAATCCAATTTGAAACCATACAGGACCCTGCTTAGCTTTTTGCAAATGTGCTAGCAGTTTTATTGTTAACTAGGATGGTTAAATATTTAAATATTTCCCCACAGCTTCTTCCCAGCATTGTAATTGTTATGCATTAAGTCTAGACTATTTCATTGTAATGTTGAATTTATAAGATATGTATTGAACTGTTTTTTTGCTTTGTTTGAATTTATAATGTCTTATAACAAATGTGCTTTTACGTATTCCAATTGTTATATATGTTGACAGTAAGTAGATGTTTGGTGTGAGCTACTTTCAGCACAGTTCCATATGGAAAAGCAGCATATACATATAAACTAAGCTTAAAATATATTGCAGTTATGACCGTCTTACATAATGCTCTTGCAACACACCACTCCCCCATTTAAATCAGTAACTTTGCATTGCCAAAAGGGCTTTCCATGTAATAAAGGGAAAGCATAGCCATTAAATGAATACCTTTGACTCATCGTGGTCTGTCTCCCTAATTAGCCACTCACTAGCACTGGAGCAGCTTTGCTCAAGTCTATTCCCCCCCCCTTCCCCCCGTCTCTGGCACTATGATTTGATTTCATTAGAAAGAGCTGCCTTAGAGGAGCCACTAACATGATTCAGTGTCACGTAGTACTGACAATGCTAAACTGGCAACAGCACCCAGAGTCTTTCCCAGCTCTGTTACTAAGGGCTCATACTGAGAAATTACCCAGAACATGCAGAGCATATGCATTGCAACTCAGTTATATGGCGCAGTCTCTTGGTACAGACTGAACAACAGTCCAAGCAAGCCCATAGAATTTACTAGTCTCAAATGATTTTACTAGCCTGTTGGAATAGCAGCTGCATTTGCATGCTAGGTGTAGAAAATGGGACTTTCCTCCTCTAGCAACCCACTTGGTTTTCATGCTGGGTTGAGAGGAGGGATGTCGCACTCAGTCCATCCTCCGCTAGCCCACAACATTCACCCTGCATGGCATTCCTGATAGCCTATGGCAGGCATAGGCAAACTTGGCACTCCAGATGTTTTGGGACTTCAATTCCCATCATCCCTGACCACTGGTCCTGTTAGCTAGGGATCATGGGAGTTGTAGTCCCAAAACATCTGGAGGGCCGAGTTTGCCTATGCCTGGCCTATAGCTACTAGGCTGGTGCTTAAATTCAGGTCTGTCTTATTCAGAGTTTAGTCACAGGTTATGCTGTTCTCTGGGAAGCATTTTCTTCCACATGGTTTTCTGTGACTATCCAAAAGCCAGACATCCTACAGCTTGACTTCCATCAACAAGCTCTGCCAACATTATTATTTTCGTTTAGCTAACTGGAAGGGAGCAGCTGAATAGCCTTAGCTGAGCCATTATCTCCCAGTCTCCATCACAAACACAAGGTTGTTTAGTAATTGTCTCCTTTACAGGGTTGATGCTATAATCTGCAATCATTTGGAGTTCATTCTGAGTTGTTTAGGAACATTGGAAGCTGCCTTTATTCCCTCAGACCATTGATCCATGTAGTTCAGTATTGTCTACCCTGACGCGCAGTGGCTTTTGAGGGCTTCAGGCATGGGGCATTTCCAGCCCTTACCTGGAGATGCCCATACTAAGCCCTGTTACAAACCCGAACTTGGTGGGTGTGAGTATTTTAAATAAACTTTGGGGGACAAATGGAATGTATGGTGCTTTTAAGCTTGGATTAATTTTACATGCAAAGACTTCCATTTGATTCCTTTTCCCACCTGTAGGTATTTGGACAGCGTGACCAATAAGGACAGCACTCTGCCACCAATTCCTCACCTTCACTCACTGCTCAGTGACGATGTAGGGCCTTATCCTGAGGTGGATATCTTCAGGCTCATCAGAACTTCCTATGAGGTGATTTGACAAAAAAAATCAGCGATTAAATGTAAAAATGTGAGGAAACAAACACAAAAACAAGCAACATGTTAGGCTTCACACTGCTCTAACTCCAGGTCATGTTTGAGCATATTAAAAAGCGCAGTTCCCAATATTGACACTTCTCCCATCCCTCCATTTTGAGAACAGACCTATTTATTCCTGCTCTTTGCTCCCTGTTCTTTAACCAGTTACAGATATGACTGTCTAGGTTTACAGCAAAGCTGAGTGATAATTTTTCCCTTTAGAAATTTGGAAGCATACGGGCAGATTTGATTGAACAAATGAGATTCAAACAGAGATTGAAGGTGATCCAGACTCTAGAAGACACAACCAAACGCAATGTGGTAGGTTCTTGGAGTGCTATTTTAATCAATTGTCTCTTGAGTTTTGGTTTCTAATGCCTTACATGCACCTAAACTCTTTCTGCTTACACATTTTGAAAGGTACGGACCATAGTGACAGAAACCTCTTTTACAATAGATGAGCTGGAGGAACTCTATGCCCTTTTCAAGGTAAATTTGAAATAGCTGTCAAGTTCATTCATTGTTTAGTAGTATTATGTAGGTTGCCTGTGTACCCTTCCATATATATTTTCTCACTGATTTCAGTGAAATTTCAGTTGATTGTCAAAACAGTTTGAAAAAGGAAAAAACTATAAGCTGTGTTTGAGTTCAACCCATAACGCAGAAGCAACTATTTCACTTCCACTTTGATGGTAAATATGTGGCTGGAATATTTTAATTAAAGTAAGTGTAGATTGGGAAATGAAACCAACCATATAATTGTCATGTAGATGCTCTTTCACATTGGTAATCACGAGTAATTCTTGTGGTTGTTGTTTTAAAAATCCAGTAACTTTTTGCAAAAACACCATTGCAGTATATATTGAAAAAGGAACTCAGTAGCAACCCAGAGAGCTCAGATCCATGACACTAACTTTGGAGAGGCAACCCTCCTTTAGTTGTTGCTGTTGCTGTTGTTTTATTGATACATACATACATACATACATACATACATACATACATACATACTCTGCCCATCTGGCTGGGTTTCCTCAGCCACTCTGGGCAGCTCCCAACAGAATACTAAAAACACGATAAAAGATCAAACATTAAAAACTTCCCTAAACAGGGTTGCTTTCAGATGTCTTCTGAAAGTCAGATAGTTGTTTATTTCCTTGACATCTGATGGGAGGGCGTTCCACAGGGTGGGTGCCACTACCGAGAAGGCCCTCTGCCTGGTTCCCTGTAACTTCACTTCTCGCAGTGAGGGAACTGCCAGAAGGCCCTTGGAGCTGGACCTCAGTGTCCAGGCTGAATGAAGTGGGGTGGAGATGCTCCTGCAGGTCTACTGGGCCAAGGCCGTTTATGTCAATTACTAGAGCAAGGTCCCTATAGCCATGGTATAATGGAAGCTGAGGTGTATATCAGTACATATGGCCAAATCTGGACTTCACTCCAATGGGCAGGAGCACCATCTGTGTGGAGTTCAACTTGAGGGACAGCCCCACTAGCAGAGGGTGGAAGAAACTGACTGAAACCCTCAACATCACCTCCCATACTGTTATTGAGGGCTGGGGATCCTCTGGAACTGTGTTAGAACTGTGTGGCACTCCTTCTGTCGCAACCATGTTACTAGTGGGATCCCTGCACTTGATCAAAAGCTTTCCATGAATGGAAGGAGCCTTTCTGTCTGCAGAAGGCAAAGTCTGGATAGCATCCTTTTCTGCTTGCACAGGTTAATAAATATTCAGTTCCAGACAAGAAAAGCAGGTTATACAGTCATACCTCGGGTTACAGACGCTTCAGGTGCACATTTTCAGGTTGCGCACCGCGCTGAACCCGAAAGTACCAGAACGGGTTACTTCCAGGTTTCGGTGCGTGCGCAGAAACACTAAATCACGACCCGTGTATGGGCAGATGCGGTGCTGAGGGTTGCGAATGCTGCGGGTTGCGAACATGCCTCCCACACGGATCATGTCCACAACCCAAGCGTTCACTGTAAATGTAATGAAATCAGTCTTTCAATAAAACGCTTATGCATAGATGCAAGATTTGAACCGGGCAAGCTGGACTCTTCTTTTCCATTGTTGACAGTCGTGTCCCTGATCGTTACTCACATGTGTGGAGAGGGGGTGTATAACCAGTGTTTCCATAGCACCTGAGAACTTTTCATAATAGAAAAGATTCTGTAATCTTATTTAGATGGTGTAATCTTATTTAGGTTCTGTGTTATGGTTGTGCTTTATGGAGAATGGATCATCCTGGTACATAGGTGCCAACTCCTAGGAGCTGAGATTCCTTCAGCCACCCCAGTAAAATATTTGAGGGGGCCATTCCTCCCCCTCCCAGTTGATGGGCATTGCCATTCAAATCGTGTGCTATGTCATGTGATCGATTATGCAGGGTGGGGCTTACCTGGGTCCCCTCCCAATATTTTACTCAAGTTGGCACCTCTGTCCTGGTATAGCAGTAATAGTCCTGTAATGTTAACCACTCTGTGTGCCAACTTTAGGTCAGGTGAAATTTGTCAACAATTGCATTTGTTCAAAAGTAGCGTAAATCATGATGGCAGATGCTGCTGCCAGAAGAGATGTGAATATTGTCCTAATAATGGCAATGTCGTGTGCCTTGCTTTTCTTCAGGCAGAGCATCTCACTAGCTGCTACTGGGGAGGCACCAGCAATGCCACGGACCGCCATGACCCAAGCTTGCCTTATTTAGAACAGTACCGCATTGACTTTGAGCAATTCAAGGGCATGTTTGCTCTCCTCTTTCCTTGGGCCTGTGGTACTCACTCTGATGTTCTGGCGGCACGCTTGTTCAGATTGTTGGATGAAAACGGAGATTCCTTAATCAACTTTCGGGAATTCGTCTCTGGACTAAGTAAGAAGAATGCATGTATTTAACTGCTTTACTAAACCTGAGGCCTGTCTCTCCCAATTGCATTAACTGTGAAATCATTAGCTTGGTATGCAGCCTTATATGAGACAATTGTATTTTATAAGGCTATATACGCATGTGCTCTCATAACCTGGATATGTTTATATTCTTGGCAGTCATTTTAAAGCAATAGGTTAATAGGAGCAATTACTATTCAATTATATACCCATTCAATTATATATTTTTGAATGTAATAGAAGGGAAATATCAGAGCTTATACCTGTGAACATGCAGTTTTTATGTGGATTTGGATTCTGCCATTAAATAAAATAGATATATATTTATTGTGTAGTAATTACATAATAAGCCACGATCTAAACACATTGGAACACTTGAAGTGTGTAAAGAATTTGTCATCCCAAAAGCCAAGCAACATCTGAATTGCACTCAGCACATTAATGCCTCAATATCTTATGGTTAAGAATTTAAAAGAGGTACATTGTATGCCAGTAAAGTTTGCTCATGGCAGGTTGTCTTTTCTAACAAAAGTCCTGTTTATCTGATGCATGTGAATCTCTAGTCAAGTTTTCCCCGGCATGTACTCTGCTATGAGATAATATGACAACATTTTTTTCAGATTAAGGCAGTGGTGGTGGGTGGATTCAAACAAACAGTAAACTGCAATTATGCAAATATATTCCTAAGCAATTGAGATGCATATTGGATGTGTGCACACAGTTTACAATCCCCAAAATAAAGCTAAATTCCAGTATTTAACTGTTTGATCCCTCTTCAGTAGTTAATTTGGAATACATGAGTTTATGTCTTCAGACATGGAGTCTAAATTGTATCGATGTGGCCACATTAGATGGATTACTACATTATTGTTTTCTCTATATATACCATCTAAAGAAGCAGGTAAATCCTTCCCTTCCCCCCACTGCACTTGCTATGTATGTTTGTGGAGGTTACATATGAATAAGGTATAATTCCTTATTTAAGATAGATAACTAATTTCTAAATGTCTGGGAGAGTGTGTGTGCCACATTAAAATATAATTAGTAATTCTGATACAGCAAATGTGATAACTTCTAGGTGCAGCATGCCATGGAGATCTTACAGAGAAGCTGAAGCTACTGTATAAAATGCATGTTTTGCCTGGTAAGTAAGCAGAGGGCCATTCCAGATACCTAAAGATTCTGCTAACGGTGCCATTCTTGGCCTCCTTAACATGAGAGTAAGACCCACTGAACTCGGTGGGCCTTACTTCTGAGTAGACATGCATAGGATTGCATCTGTTGATGGGACATTTGCTGTAACTCATCCACCAACAAGTATTGAGATTTCTATTCGCGCATACTAAATGGGGAGGAGTATATGAGAGGGGTATATAGGGGCATAGCCATAACTCTGTTTGTCATCAAAAAGATATGCACAGCAGTGCTAAATGGAATAAACATATAGACCAAAAATAAATACATAGCATCTAGTTACTATAAATAACAGGTGGAGACTGTGCAGCCATCTAGATCTTTTTTGGACTCCCCAGTCCCATCAGCCCCAGCCATCATGGCCAGTGGTTAGGGATTATGGGAGTTGTAATCCAGCAGGATCTGGAAGCTACAGGTATGCAATAGTTTGTTGTTTCCATTATTATTAAAACATGTGCCATTAATGTCTAGGGCCCATCCGCAAATTGCCCCGACATTCATGTGTTTGCCTTGTGATGCCCAGCACTGGGCTTCCGAGAAACTGCACGTTTCTACAAAGACCATAATTAAGCCTTTGTTCATCTAAATTGGCACATATAAGGACACCTGTGCCCAAGACTTTTATATCAGACATTTAAGACGCATTTCTATATAGGAAATGCTGTTTCATAAACCTATCCATTAGTAATTTATTATTGCCCTGAAATAGATTGCTTTTTAAAAAAATCTGTAATATACATTGGTAGTGGGAGGGGGTTTGGCATTTTTGATATGTACAAGTGGATTGGTTGATCTGTCCAAGTATGATGATGCTTGATGCTTCTATGCGCAGACCCATCCTCTGATCAAGAAGAGCCGGATTCTGCTTTTGAAGCAACACAGTACTTCTTTGAAGACATCACACCAGAGTGTACACATGGTACAGGACTTTACCTCAGATCTCTCCTCTTTCATGACCGCATCAATTTCCCAATTTCCCCTTCAAATATAAACTCAAAGGTTCTTGCACCCAAAATAAAACAGAAGCCAGCTGCAGTTTTCTCTCTGAATATCAGGACTGTGGATTTAATAAATCACCCTCTTCCCTTTGGCCTTCTGGAAGGGAAAAAAAACCACATCAGCTTCATGGTTGAAGTAGTTTAAGTTTCTGGGGTAGAGGGGAGTTTCAGGAGACCAGAAAGGTGTTGGATCCTTTTGGTGTACCCCCTCTGTGAACAAAGGTCACAGAAATTTACTTGATGTGGAGAGGGAAAGGCATATCCGATCACCTTCTCTGAGGTTGTGGCTCAGGCTAGGTTCCCAGTTGAGGGTGAGTAGGCACAGAATGGCGTATAGTGGCAGCAGAAATTAGCTTGCTTTTTTTTAATTTGAGACGCTTTTAAAAAAAGATGGTACTCAGACAAATTGTGCCATCGTCTATGGTATGTCATGCCTTCTTGTGTGGAGAGATTGCAGCAGGATGCCCACATACCAAAAGTGTGATACTCATCAGCTGTCTAGGAAAGAAAGGGAGCGATGAATTGTTACATGTCTGGAAACACCCTGAGAAGGCCTGGCTGATACCAGCTTTCCTGGTCTTGTGCTTAACTAATGTAACCAAATGTGTAAATACAGAGGTGTCTCAAAGTGCATTAATTTTGTTTTTCCTGTGCATTAGTTGTTGGCGTAGATGGCAGGAACAAACATGGAGCAGATGAGGGTTTCGTTAATGTGAGTGTGAAAACTGAAAAAGGTATGAAGTTAAATTGGAGGGGATGGGGAAATAATTTTTTGTTATCCAACTTGTTCCCAAAAAAATAATCTTGCTTTTTGGCAAAACATTTGTATTAGGTAAGAAGAACTCTCAAGATAATAGAAACTACCTTAGAATGTGGAGCCAAGAGAATAAAGCCAAAGCAAAGAGTGCAAAGGACTTGCCCAAACTCAATCAGGTAAGCTTTTGTTAACACACAAAAAGGTGTGTAAGGTCTCAGTCCCTGTATCCAGCAACTAAGCACAGGGTAGGTTGTTGAGTCTGCAAGTAGTGCATTCTGTAACATAGGTGGTATGTTAGTCCCTAACACTTCTAAATGCAAATAAAGGAGCCCCTTTATTCCCACTTCCCCCCAGCTGGCAATCAGTGATAAAGCTGGCAGCATAAGCCATTTTTTCAACAGGTGAATGCGTGCAGTAACCCATACAAAGATCTGTGGATCAAATCCTTTAGTCATTTTTGAACAAAAATGTAAGACCAAACAGTGAATCACCTTTATTTTATTAGATTTGAAGAGGGATGTTGATAGAATATTGTTGGTGTATTTGAAGTTCATTCACAGAGAATAGAAAAATGCACAATTTGATTGCATGCATAATCCTTTGGAAAAAGTTGTTTAAATTTCAGGTGCATAATGAAATGAAGATTGGCAGAGGTTTGTGTGAGAGGGAGAGATAAGAGGGAAGGGAAAGAATATGAAGTCAAGACACCACCAAATCTAAAGCCTTGCTTGTGTTGAGGGTGTTTCTCTAGGTTTCTTCTTTTTTGACCAGTGGTTTTCTTTCTTTTAGAGTTTCATCTCCCATTAGTCCCAGTAGCTTTCAAAATCAATAACTCCAGCTCCAGGGCTGGTGCACTTTCTAATCTGTTCTGGGGACATGTCAGGGAATAGGAGAGTTGTTTAGATCTAGCACAGGCTTCCTCAACCTTGACCCTCCAGATGTTTTTGGCCTACAACTCCCATGATCCCTAGCTAGCAGGACCAGTGGTCAGGGATGATGGGAATTGTAGTCCCAAAACATCTGGAGGGCCGAGATTGAGGAAGCCTGATCTAGCAGATCCAAAGACGCCTGTGATCTCACTGACACCCCCTTTTCTTTTGCTGTTGCTGCTATCAGAGATGGCAGAGTGGTGGTGGTTTATGTGCTCACAACAGGGAAGTTTGCAAGGTTGGATCTCCTCCTCATAGATTGTTTAATTAGTCATCCAGAGTTGTCCTACACAGTAGGGGATCAGGGTGACCCCTCTGGGTCCTGCACTTTCAGGGGTTCCACACCTTTATGTGGAGGCAGCCTCATTTGGGAACAGGCCCCAAATGCTAAGTAACACTGGCCAGTGATTGGGCAGGACCCCTGGTTCACCTGGATCCCCTTTTACAGCCCCCAGAAAAGCAGGCATGGGAAGAGGGGTGTGCCTGCATTCAAAAGTCAGCTGGTGGCATAGCTTATTTCCCCCCTCCCCTATTTCAAAAAGCAAAGTCCCTCCCTCTGAAAAAGGCACATGTATGAGAGAGAGATTGGTAGTTTTGTTTTCTCAACACATTCACATTCAACTGCAGGAATGTGGGGCAAATCCTGAAGTCCGTTAGTTCACTTAATGCTTAGTTGCTTAAAGCCAAAGAATGTTGTAAGTAACCCTAAAGAAAAAGCCTGCACTCTGAATTTAGTTAACAATTAAAGTACTTTCTAGAGCGTACTCCGCTCTTTTCTGTTTTTTAGCAGGATGGGAATCCTAAGTAAAAGGTGCATGTCCTTGAAACAACTGGTATAATTGAATCCCAAACGTCTTAAAGTTTTTTGCTGGCGTAGGCAAGTTCAAGAGGCACTTGCAGGGAGTTAGAAGCATGTTTTGTTCGTATATAGTTTCAGAGTCAATCCCTGTCACCTGTTAAAAGCATTCAGAGTTCTTCTAATCTAGACATTTTCTTCAAAGACATGGGAGTCTAGGCTCTCTGCCTTTTGGTTCAAATTTCAGAGGCAGATTTTCCCTGTGTAATACAGTGCACCCAAAGAACATGATTTGCCTCATGATTTGCACCCCCCTAGGGATGGCTCTGTTGTCACCTATAGTTACACAGCTTCCCCTCGTATACACATACTTTTTCGAGATTAAGCCCTGTGACTTAATAAATGCCTAACTTTTAATCTTTTTCTACATAGCTTAAGGAGAGCAGCTTAGGCTGGCGCATGCATTCTTTTGGGTAAGAATATGCAGGAATCTCTGTTGCCATAATCTGCCTCAGAAAAGTTTGCTTGATTGGCATAAGCACTAGATGCTAGTAACACTTATATGAATTTTTTTAAATGAACTGATTTTGTCAAGTTTAAATATATGTTGGTAATTGTTAATTTGGTATTACATGTCCAGGAATATACAGAGTACAATTGTGCCTTTCTCCTTTTCCTTTCCCCATTAATTCCCCTGCATCTCAGTCGATTAACTGGGAGCACCTAATACATGTTACTGCTGAAGCTAAGCAAATGTGGACATGGTCACGATCTAGAATGGGAGACAACTTGGAGCCCCATACAAAAGTATAATAGATATTTAAGAAACAAAACCTTGTTCCTCTCTCTTGCATCTAGGGGCAGTTTATTGAATTGTGCAAGACAATGTATAACATGTTTAGTGAAGACCCCAATGAGCAGGATCTTTACCACGCTACTGCAGCTGTGACAAGTTTGCTTTTGGAGATTGGGGAAGTTGGTAAGTTATTTAGTGTGCAGCCTCTTAAGGAGGCAGAGAGTAGCAGCAAAGCCATTCAGAACGCACTGCTTCAGAAGAAGGGAAGCCAGCAGTATCACCTTGGACAACGTGACCCTTTTCAAGATGGCTTCCTTGCGGATGAGGAAGAGAATATTTGTGGTGATGGCACACAGATGGAGGACATCAAGCTGGAAGATTCTTCTCCTAGAGACAATGGAGCTGGTTCTTCCATGCTTATTTCAGATGACGATACTAAAGACGACAGCTCCATGTCTTCCTATTCCGTCCTAAGTGCAGGCTCTCATGAGGAAGACAAGTTGCATTGTGAAGACATCGGGGAGGACACGGTTTTAGTGCGAAGCAGCAACCCTTCTCTACCTAGAAGCATGAGCATCGACAGAGACTGGGCTATCACCTTTGAGCAGTTTCTGGCTTCCCTCTTGACTGAACCTGCCCTGGTGCGGTATTTCGACAAGCCAGTCTGTATGATGGCAAGGATTACAAATGCCAAGAATGTGCGGATGATGGGCAAACCCATAATATCTGCGAGTGACTACGAAATCTCTGCTATGTCAGGCTAAGTGGGCCCAGGTAGGGAGGGTTTTTAAAAAACTATTTTTTGGTTTTTATTACATATTTATTACTGCCTGGCACAGGTCCTGGTGTTTTCAAAAGGTGGTAGTTCTTGCTTATGTGAACATGTTATATTGAACTTTCTCTCTCTGTGGGAAACATTATCAGAATGCTTGTCTTATCGTCAATATATAGGGGGGGAGGGGATCATTGTCAGTGGTGGGTATGTTATTAGTATTGCTATCCATGGATAAATGGTGACAATTAGTACAATTTTAAGTCTAGAAATGAACAAAGTTTGTGTATGTTTTAAAAACAGGCCTGAAATCCTGGTAAGGAAGAAACTGGAAGAACTTAAAAGTGGCAGAAGCATTGTGTGCTGCAGCGTGCACATGGAGTTCCTTTGTCTTTGCCATTCCCCTTGAGGGAGGTAGCACAATGTTCACATGCCTTTGGCTCACGCAGAGCTGCTTCCCTCACTTGCCGTGAATGGGGAAGCAGAAGCTGCTGCAGGCAAGGAGCACCATGTGTGCACTGGAACCCGATGCCTGTTACGAGATTAGTAGGCTGCGCTAAAAATAGAAAGGGATGCTGTCAACTTGTTTAGGACTCGAAAGTAAGTTCTGTGCAGCATCCCTGGTGGATGTCTCTTGATATAATTTTTTTTTTTAAAAGAGAGGCCAGTGATTCCTAATACTTTTTAAAATACATTCTTCAGGGATACCGCCATGGACTTGCCTTGACACATGCCAACATCCTGACCTAAACAATTCATAGTACCCCTTTTAAAAATGAGAGGGTTTTTAATAAAATTCTGTAGATAATTGTATGTTGTTGAACATTTTAAACCTAGTGTATGGTAGATTAAGAATTCATAGCTTAAGTCTTCATTTTAAAGCAGTTATTAGCAGGAATGTAATGGGGGGGATTTGCAAGGAAATGTAACTGAATGTTTGAAAGTCTTAATGAAAACACTGTCACTTTATTATAGATGAATAATGTATAATGTAATTTACTGAATGATACGTTGAATGACAAATGGAGCACCTGCACTTTGAATCTTTGCTTCTTTTTCCAAAACATTAAATGGCGGCACAACTCACTTCCATGGTGCACATATTTCCTTTGCTCAGAGGGTTCCAGGAGGCTCAAAGAGACCCACCCCCCTCCCCCGGCCAACCTCAAACACACTATCTGTACGCATGCCCGTGTCCAGGGGTGGGGCAAAGCTCTGTTGATACTATGGGAATCCTCTGAATGTGCCTGTGATAGGACTGGATTGTGCCTAATATTTTTTAAATTTCTTAGGTGATTAGGTCCAAATCATTCTTACATGCCTGAACTATATTTGCTGCCTTCAAAAAATCTTTCCACCTCCTTTTTGTTTTTTTATATATTGTATATTATGATCATGTAACTTTTCCAGGTGTATTTTTTTTTTTTTTAGCCAAAGCCATTGCTTTAATTCATATTTAAGATACTGAACTGTCTGACGTGGTTTTAGCCACAGTAGGTAAATGTAATCAAGGCTCTTTTTTGTTTTTTGAAAAAGATATTAAACTATTATCAGATGGAAATTGCAACTGTCTTTCATGGTGTAACTCTTTTGACTTCTACTGAGTTAAGTAGCAGAGAAATCAGAATTATTGCAGGGGAGTAAGACTTTATCAACAACAGGGGTAGCCAACATGCAGTCCCTTTACATCCAGGTGATGCAGTCCCAGGTTCCATCATATAGATCAGGCCTGGGGAACTTGTGGCCCTTGCAATTGTTGCTGAACTCAAAACTTCTCTCATCCTTGTGTTCCACAAACAGACTTAGCAAGTAGTACTCCTGTAACACAAGTACTCTTGTAGCAACATTGGAACCTACAAAGGGGACTGTGAAAACAATAAATACAACATACCTGAGCAAAACAAAGCTTCTGATCAACTTGATCTTTATTTGCTAGCAGTCATTCCACACCCAAACAAGAATACATTTTATTGCTTCCAAACTACACACAGTTAGTAATGGGCAATGCTCTTGCTCCACAAAGGTTTATGAGTCACTGCCCGTATGTGTTCCTCACAGTGGAAAAGGGCAGCAACAGAAAAAACTGTCACCAGCCTGAGCACCACAGAAGTAACCAGTACAAGTGCACATCATAAGGACAAGAAACAGTAAGTTATCAGTACAGGCTACAGAACCTTACTAATGCAACTGTAATTATGACACTTTTGACATACATTTGGAAAGCTAAAAAGGTTGTTATAGAAGAGGATTCTGTGGTCTCTATTTCTGCCTCTTGGATATTTTTACATGATCTTTTAGTGCATCTGTGGCTATGGTAAATAATCCAATGAACCTGGACACCTAAATACAGCACAACCAATAATATGGCATCTCTAGTTTATGAATGGTGTCTGTGATAGTTGGCAATTCCAGATTGAAGCTCCACTACAAGTTTAAAAGTATACCCTTTTTCCTAGAGTTTTTTCATTTGCAGGCATTCAACAAATATTGTGGCTCATACTGCTATAAGTGATTTTTGTAATTTGCTCCCTTTAAGGAAGCTGTTTACTACTTGTTTGTCTTAAGATATTTTAATGCTTACTTCATTTCCTAGTTGAGTCCAGTAATATGCACTCAAGTGCCCAAAATTTTTATGAAATCCATTTTTTTATAAGCCAAACTTTAAGTGTTATTTGGTTGTGCCATAGAGCTTAATTTGGAGATCAATATTTTTTTTCCAGCTAGTAGCCATTTTTGTGAGAATGCAATTTGAAACGTTGTGGGTTAGATCCAGATAGATGAGCAGAACTCTGCTCCCATAATGGGTCTCTGCTGGCTCATCCCCCAGCACTGCTCCCCAAAAGCAACTACAAAGGTCAAGGAACCATCTGGAATGGATAGGCTGGGAAAGCAGTGATTAGAATGAGAAAGTGGGAGAATTCAGTAGGATTGCCTTGAGCAGGTGGAAATGCAAGCCGCTTCTGGTTTCAAGTCTGTAAAACGAACTTTTATGCTGGATCTGCCTTCCCACAATGTATCATACAGTCACAGGTTCAAAAGCTTTTGGAGAAACGTTAATAGTGAAAGTGATACACATAGATGTCTACATGTTTTTCCATGTAGCCCTCTCACCTCACACCACATAGAGAAAAACAATGTGAACAGCTGTGTGAAAAAATAAATGGCTGCTTGTGTGTATTTCAATGTGTATTTGTTTCTTTCTAAAGAAACAGTGCAGATATACTAGTATATTGTCTTACGATTGTCACAATGCAATATTTAATGAAAAACCCTGTTTTACAACATATTTCTATCTACCACCAGTCTCTTTAGGTTTTCACAGCTCAAAACTAGATTAAGTGGTTCAACTACAAGTCTAGAATTAATTATTTTCAAAAAAATGGGCAAATATATATACAAGCTAAACAGCTAGTGGAATACATTGGCCCAGTTCAGTTGCAGCTATTTGTCTGATAAATCATAGGTATTTGACCAGGAGCTACTGGCTCATGCAGTTTCCCCTTCCCCCTAGTAGCCATCTTCAATAAAGCTTGCCTACTTTCTTTAAATGTATCCCAGAATGTCTGCACATGCAAACTGTGGCTTAAGGGCTACCTTCCAAATTAGCTTCAAATTCTTTTTTGGAGGTAATCTGAATGTCCAAGAAGGTGGTAGTTTAAGAATTCAAGAAAACTTTGCCAAACTGAACACATGAGGGGCAGGGCAAGAGGGCAGATGGTTTGTTTCTCGTCCAATAAACTATACTTTAGCAGACCGGGATCATTACAGCTGAATGAGACCAATGTATTTAAAAAACCAATGAAGAATGGCCTTATTAAGTTTAGTTATTATACCTAAAAATTACATCCACATAGGATAGCTACATCACTATCTGTAATTAAGGAACACAGCTTTACAAAAAATCAACAATACATTTAAAGAAGGAAGATACAAATTTGTTCCAGTAAGGAATGAGAATTTCAAAATATTTACAACACAACTGATGGCTTCAAAACTTTAGAAACCTCTTTCCTAAAAATTGTCAACTATGATTGTTAGCACCATTGAAAAGAATATTTATACTGCCTGAAACTGGGTATGTTAGCATTATATCACTTTGTGCTCTGTTGATAATCATTTTCATTTAATATGTTAGTTTTTACAAAAATAAAATAAAACCTTAAAACTAGTCGGTTTGCTGGTTTATGTTTTAATTGTTGCATAATCTAGCCCAGAGTTTTGGTAGAATGACAACTCAAACATTCCTGGTTCCACTCATCACTAGCATTAGGGAGTTGACAAAGTTTATAATCTATCAGTCTTCCTTAGGTTTATCATCTGACAGGAAAATATGAACTCGTTAAAAAGAAAAAAAGAAAAAAATACAGATTGTATTGGAAAGGCTCAGATAGACTCAGCCTAACAAATCCCTACAGGTCCAAATTAATGAAATCACAGGAACAATGTAGATGCTACTGTTCACATGCACAATGTTGCATCAGCTTTATTTTTTGCAGAGCCATTGATTCTTATTTAATACTAATGTAGTAAACAAGTAATGTGACAACTATATATGAATATATACCTTAAAATCTTTTCTGGTATATTTTCTAGAATTTTCTATTGCCACTATATTTAAAGCATTAAGTATAGAAGATCAAGGTTTCTTTTAAGTAAAATAAATGAAATTTCTTAAATTAAAAAAGGTTGTCAATTAAACCATTTCAAAGAAAAACTCAAATGGAACAGCGTGCAATAAATGTACCGTATAGCATACAGAAAAGGAAAATACATTTACAACAGTTTCAGCCAGGAATGATTTTTGTATACATTCTGATACCATGAACCACTTGATCCAGTGCTCATATATAATCAGGTACACACTTCTCTGTGAAGACAAATCTCCAACTAGCAGGAGAAAATAGGGTTGTCCCTATACAGAGAGAGCGCATATGGACTTTTTTGATTGTGCCCCAATGCATTTTGCAGATATCAAATTTCTCTTGAAAGATTTCTTGTATTGCACAAAAGTGATCAAACATCTCTAAAAATAGATGTAGATACTGAAAAGCCTTCTGTGATCCACTCCATCTCTCTGTCAGGGCTCTACTGCTCTGGTAGAAAGGAACTTCGAGAAGCATGTTCTTTCCCATAAGTTAGATATCAATTTTGCTTTGTCCTTTTTTTTACTGTTCTAGATAAATTATTACTTTTAAATGTCACAGGTTTTAGATATTACTTCCAGCATATGTAATGCCTACAATGTTGCCATGTGGCATCATATGTTCTCCCCATGGCTTCCTGCTGCACTCTTTTTCCTTATCAGCAGTCTAATTAGTCGATTATCAGTTAGTAAGATGAAATAGGAATTTGCTCAATTCCAATATCAATTCTTACAACAAAGCCAGCGTGTTTTAGGAACAGCAACAACTCAGTCTCAGCTTCAGATTTGAAGCGCACATGAAGTAAGTACAAGGCACTTTAAAAAGATTAATCTTTGAACTAATCACCCTATCCCTAAAGCAAGGCTACCTGCAACTAAAGTTTGATTAGAAGCATTTTAAACATGCTTATTCAATAGCTGAAGAATCTTTAGATTGTCTTGGAATATGCCATCTGAGTTGCCTTCTTCAATACAAAATGGCAATGCATTAAAGAAAATTTACTTAATTGCCCAATTATCTTCTACTGAATATTTGGAGCTCTAGTATTCATAAGCTTTAGCTGTGAACTTAAGTGACAAAAGAAAGGGGGAAATAGAGCAATGGTTGATATGTGAAAGCAGTTACAACATTTTAAATAAAAATAGTCTAGTACAGGAAAATATATTTAACTTAATATATTTATGATAAAATGCAAAGACCTATTTAAAAACAAAAGTTTTAACTCTGGCAGTGTTTAAGCATGCTGCCATGAGAAAAATCAAACAAATAGTCTTCAATAAACAGAAGTGAAGCTTTTTTCTCATACACCCAAATCATTTAACCTGCTAGTGGTTCCCCTCCCCCCAGTAGTGTAATAATAAAAGACCATGTGTTCCAGGTTAGAAGAGAGAGAAAATGCAACCTAATACATTTAAAACAAAAGCTATTTCTGTTCAAGAAGTATTGCAACATCTCTGGTTGGAAGCTAACACCAGTCAAATATGGAAAAGAAGCTATTGCTAGACAAAATGTAGCACAACAAGAACCTGTTTCATCTGCTAGGTATACAAAAATTATGAGGATCTGTGGTACAGAAAGGATCTTTGTCTCTAAAAAGTTCTTACCTTCAGCAAATAGTATACAGACCTAAGTAAGTGTTGATTGTCCAAGCTCTCTCAACCACTTTTTTAAATAAAAAAAATAGATGTATAAAATTTTGTGATCACTAAGTGAAGTTTTTGGTTAAATATGAGAATCCCAGTCAAGTGCATAATTTTTATAGACAGAATCCAAAGGAATGCACATTACTATATTTCGTTTCTTAAGGCAAGGACTACATCGTAATCCAGAAGATGTTTTTTGACTTTTTCATGAAACTTCTCTCTATACTGGTTGAAGTACATAATACTTTCAGGCTTTTCTTCAAACCAAAATTTGTCAAATTCGTAAGCCAAATAACCTGTAAAGACCAAAACATAGAAAGCGTATTGAGACAACGCATGTGTTTGCCTCTAAGCAGCTTTTCAAAAACGACTAGAAAACCCATTAAAATTAATAAATATGACTAAGTTAAGAGCCATTAATTTCAGTATGTCAACTTGAGTAAATCTTAGCTGAATACCGCCAAAGAGAGCTACTTCAGGCACATGCAACCAAAAGCTTGGACACTGGCACTATTTTTGAAATGTAGAAGAGTAGAAGCTATATCAAATTACATTTGAAATTACAGTTTCAAATTTGGTATGCTTTGCATAAAATATGCACTTATAAGGAAAATCAATAATCTTGTATTTCCATATACTGTACGTATGCAACAAACACATACAACAGCATACTAAGGTTCGGGGAGCACTACAAAATAATTTAGCAGTCATTTGTTTCATTTCCGATTCTTCTTCTTCTTCTTCTTATTATTATTATTAGTAGTAGTAGTAGTAGTAGTAGTAGTATAACATTGTCTACCCATAGATTATGGCTTGTTCATATAATTTATATATTTGTTCATAAGACCATCTCTCTCAGCTTAATAACCTGTTATTAAGCGGTTAACCATAGATTCCCAAAACAGACAAAATGAGGGACCATAGTTAACTGAAGACTTCCTAGTTGGTTTGCTCACTTGAAAGGGCTAAATACAAAGCCATAGGGTTCACTCCTATCTTGGGTTATTAAGCAAATATATTATTTTTGGAACACATGCAATATGTGTAATCAACCCTACCCTATATTAATATGCAGAGGTGAATAGGTTTATATGAATAGGACAAGGAGTCACAGCCAGAAGTTATTCTCCAGCTTTTCTCTGTCTGTTCAAGGAAGAGCACCTTCAGTCAGAATGTGGAGGCCGCTTTTGCCAAAAAAGTCAAAGTTTACAGTGGTGTATATGGCTCCACTCTTCTGGAGACAAATACACGTGATAGACGCTTGATTACATTCATTTCTTCTCCAGTAGTGTAATGTGTGTATAAGGCCTTTGAAATTCATCTTTCATTTAAATATAGAGAAGCATTATTTTTCCTGAAAGCATGTTGATACCCCCATCCTTGCGCTTTTGAGATGCGATAGCATTGACAGGATCATGGTAGGATTCAACATGCTTTCCAGAAAACACAGCAGATTCTTTTTTAAAAAAAGATCTCTGCAAGCGTTATGGTTGAACATGTTAACAAACTAGTGAGAATATTCTGCCTCTAACTAAGTTCAGAAACAGCAGCTTCCAAACCACTGAAGTTGTTATCCATATATAAAAGCTAGTTGAAGATACTCACAATAAAACTGATGGAAGTCTTTCATTTGTGGTTCACCAGGAACCAAGTTGTAGAAGTGAGTTCTTAAATGTCCATTCTTCAATAAATTGTAAGCCATTTCTGTCAAATTGATCCCAACTATTGCATAAGAATAACTGTAATACACAGACGTTATAATCACTATACTTTTTGATTTCTGCATTTTAAGCAGTATAAAAAATAAATAAATTAAAAATTAAAAAACATTTATGAAATAGGCTTTATCTAATAATGATAGTGAGTGAAAATTAAGTTTAAAAGGCAGTATTGTTGAGGACAGCATTGCTATTTGATCTGGCTTTACTTTTAGGATTTTATGTGGGTAGAGCACTATTAAGGACTGGAACCTGGCAATCTGCTATGCTTACTGATCCTGAAAAACAGGAACAAGGTCTTTATAGACAGCATTCAACTTGACATGCTTCCCATTTGCTCACATGCCTACATCATGTGGATGGAAGACACTGATTGTGTTTGTTCAAAACTACAACATTTAATGCAGTTCCTTTAATGGAGGTGTCTAGTCCAATTTTACTGAATGAGTTTCAGTTATTAACGCCCAAGAATGTTGATAAGATGCTTGGACAGGTTCAGTCTAATGGAAAAATCCTTAAGGTTATACATATACGGTGGAGGAGCAAGAGAGAAAAAGTTACTAGGGTCTTTTGTGTGAAGACATCAACAGGACAATCTAACCACACACAATAGAGGTACAGAGGAAAAGTGAGATAGGACAGGCATAAGGCTAACATGCAATGAAAAAATATTTTCACTTATGGGATCCCTAGAAATTACTGGATTACTCTCACAAATATTATAGAAGAGGAGGTGCAGAAGATAAATATACTTTCAGATTATTTATTAGAAACTAAAGTAATAATGATATCTTTACTTTTTCAGGTTTAAGAGTCAATTATGACAGCAATTTTATTAAAAAGTAGCTTACCCCAGTTTTGGATTATTTGAGCGAGAAAGGATTTGACGAGCTTCACGGGGATAGTGTTTACTAAAATATCTGAAAATATATGTACACACAAAGTAATTATATTTGCAAGAGACTGCTTATACTAGCAGTGATTAAAAATTACTTTTCTAAACATTCACATTATAACCACTGCCTTGCAAAGTCAATTGCTCTACAGTATAATTAATGGTGTTAATAAATTAATGAACAGTAGGACAATAGCTTTTGAAATAAGATAGATTAATTAGATTGGCAGGTTGTTGAAGACTGAATCCAATACCCTCTTTTTAATACCCATTTATTTACATCAGCAAAAGAATACCCACTGTTACATAATATTTTTGACTTACAGAAGATTAGTTAATCCCAGCATGCCCATTCCTCTGAAGTCTGTTTTAGGGTCATCACCTTGGAAACCAATGTCACACCACTGCTTCGTGATTCTAGCCTTCAGTTTTTCATGGGGCATCAACAAATTCCAAAGCTGTATAAATATGCTACTGTTAACAGAATTATCAGTATTTCCCCCAACTCATTCTAAATACAAATAGATACCATTAATCAAACTGGATGCCATACAAAATGGCATAAGCATCCTGAAACACAGGATGCAAAGAAATGTATTAACAAGGAAGCTTTTTCTTTTTGAGTGTGGCAAGCGATAAAGAGCTTTCATGGCAATCTGCTTCGGGCATGAAGCTCTCCTGTGCACATAGGACTCCCTGAACACAGTTTTCCTCCTCCTATTGAATTCAATGTAGCAGTTAGTCCAGAACTCCACATAGGCAACAGACTGAATGAACCTGTACTAAAGTATATGGACTCACAATCAACTGTTTTATAAGATTCTCCCAACAAATATAAAACTGCAAAGTCACACTTGCTTTGCAGGTGTTGTCTAGCAGCTCACTAAAGACTGGCTGTTAAATTATACCCTCCAGTCCAGCATTTTGTATCTGAGCTATCCCGTGTGTTCTAGGCCTCAGTAACTAGAGTCATACTACTATTGAAAATCAGATTACAATTTTTAACAAACCTGGAAAAACACCAATTATTTTTCTAACCACCTCTCCTAATCTGTTTAATTCCTTTTTAAAGCTATTTAAACAAGTAGCTATCACTGTATCCTGCCTGTAGCAATGAATTCCGTAAATTAAGTATGCTGTGTGAAATACTTCCTTTTGCCTTTTCAAAACTTAATGCTAAATCGATTTCATTGGATGGCCTTGTGTTTTAGTATTATTATGAGACACAACTTTCACCAATCCCTTTTTTCACATCACTCATAACGGCATGAACTTCTATTGCAGATAAGAGTGGCCTTACTACATTAGCCTGGTCAACTGTAACTTCAGTAGACTGAGTTCAAAATTGATGCTTGTTTTTAACATCACAAATTGGGCATTAAACATGCCATAAAAGGCACAAAATCTATTTTTTTTACCTCCATTAGTTGCTCTTCATGTTCTTTATTATCAGAGTTATATGGCTGTTTTCTCAGCTCTTCTACGGCCGAATAAAGTTTCTTACATCCTGATATCTGTAGCAAACTTAATTGCAGCTTTGAAGCAAACCTATAATATAGGAAAACACAAAGAGAATTATAATTAACAGGTGATTAACAGCTTTCATCTGCAATAAAAATGGAGAACAGCTGTTAGTACCAGTTGAAAATCATATAACCTTCATTTCCCAGACCACTTCGCTTACCATTCTAAACTATGACAAATAGGCCACAGAAGTTAGGGTATCCCTGTCCAGATAGGGGTGTAGCTGGACCACCAGCCAAAACTGACAGAAGGCACTCTGCTCCACCAAGGCCACCTGGGTTTCAAGCAACAGTAATGGATCCAGGAACACCCTCAAGCTACATACCTGCTCCTTAAGAGGGATTGTACCCTCCTCAAGAGCAGGAAGTCTCCCATCCATCTAGGGAACCACCCACTAACAATGCCTTTGTCTTATCTGGATTGAGCTTCAATTTATTGGCTCTCATCCAGTCCACTACCAAGGCAACACACTGGTCTAGCACATCCGTTGCCATGCCTGTAGATGTAAAGGAGAAAGAGAGCTGTGTGTCACCCGCATATTGCTGACAACACACTCTGAAACTCCAGGTCACTCAGCAGCTTCATATAGATATTAAACAACATGGGAGATAGAATTGAGCCCTCAGCGACAGCACAATGAAACCCCAATGTTGCCAAAAAACACTTTCCAAGCATCACTCGCTAAAGATGACCAAGTAGGACCAGAACCACTGCAAAGCAGTGCTGCCCACCCCCAATTCAAATAGCCTCTACAGGAGTATACAATGGCCAATGGTATCAAAAGGTGGGCACATTGCCAAAGTCTTTCTCCCGACAGAGGTCATTATAAGGTAATCAGGGCAGTTTCTGTGCCAAAGCCAAGCCGAAATCCCAATTGAAATGGATCTAGAAAACCAGTCTTCTCCAAGAGCACCTGGATCTGCTCAGTGACCACCTGCTCAAGAACGTTGCCCCCAAAAGGGAACTTGGCAACTGGCCGGTATTTCCTTAGGTTCTCAGAATCATGTATTTTAGATAACGAATGTTACTGTGTATCATTCTATCTTCACTGAAGTCCACAGCAAAACTGCTGATTTCAATGAAGTCAGACTCTACTCAGATCATTGCTTATTAACACACTTTTAAAAATAGTTTTTAAGCAAATCTCTTAAGAATCACATTACTATGTATGAATTACAAGATACACTAAATGCATTTTATGAAGACTAATTTGAATGATTTACTAATTCTCAGTGTCTATTTGAACAAAACACATTTTCAATGACCTCCAAGATAAAGTTCCAAACAAGGTATCTTTAGAATAATAGGCTTACACTGCATCCTTTTGTGTATTAATCTTCTTTTGTTCTATGATGAGTGCCACACATTTTTCCACATCATCTTTAGAAGAATACACAGCCCTTTGTAAAGCCTGATAAATACAAGTAAAACATCAATCTTCTGACACAAAATATCATCTGTTTTAATAGCAGTTACTTTAGATTTCAGGAGATTACTATGAGTAGGGATTCCACAACCTGTTCTGGATGGAGTCATACTCCCTCAAAAGGTTCAAGTTCACAGTTTGGGAGTGTGGGAATGAGCTGACTGGTGGGGCTTGTGAAGTTCAGTGCACAGCGCTTTAAAGACACCACCGAACAGCTGACTGCAATGTCTGCAAACTTCTTCTGACTCTGCCACATCTTTACCCTGCCTCACTTTAGGCATAGGACAGGTGGGTGTGGCTTGGCCATAGGGGTCTGGGCCAGATGGGAAGGCCAAGCACATTTAATTAGACCTAAAGACCAGAGGTTCCTCAGCACTGTTTCATTAACAGCAAGCCAAAAACTGTACCACAGCAGTGTTGTTATAACTGCAGATAATGTAAACTAAGCAGGCTCATGAATCAGACTTGATCCAGTTTGCATCCAGTCTAGTTCTTGACTAGCCTTGGTTGGCATATCATTGCTACAGCAATGATAAAGCCAATCTTGTGCACATTTACTCAGAAGAAGCCCAACCAGGTGCAAATAATAATATTGGGCCTCTTTTTTTAGAAAAATGATGAGGATCCAAGGATCAGAAAATTTAGTTCTGTATGCTTTAGAGCTGTGTTTCTTACATAGTGCCTTTCATGAATGTAACTTTGGAGGTTTTCTACCCAAAGGTGGGGAGGGAATTGGGCTTGACTTTAGATGCTGGGCGTAATATAAAGTTAACCTACCTTACATTTTGATGATTCCAACGAATGTTCTGCATTAAGATAAAAACATGCATGTTTTAAAAGAAATTCATAGACCCTAGATTCTGATTTCTAAAATTACACAAGACAATTGAATAAGCATGATTGTAACCGTGGTTTAATACCTCTAATTTATTTATTTCATGTATTAATTGCTTCCCATAATACATCTATTAAGTGATTTAACAATAAAAACAACTACGGTATATATAAAATTTATAATCTAAGAGAGTTAAAAACTAGAATAAAAATCTGAGTGTAAAAGGCTTGTTGGTGTTGGTTTTCAACAGACACCAAAAATACAGTAAAGACAGTGCCTTTACTGTCTTTGGTATGGAGCAGAAGGGAGTTCAAATTGGAAGGTGCCACCACAATAAAGGTCCAATTCCTACACTGCAAGGAACAGACCTCCCAATGTACTGTTGAAGCATGCTAACCACTGAAGCGGTAATGTAAACATACTTCAACAGCTAGCATGCAATTGCAGATGACTCCACAAGCACTTATGACAGTAAAATGAATAGGAGTTCCAGGAGGATTACAGGGGCAAGGAAACAAAAATGTCGCACACATAAGGTGAAAGCATCCCTATCCCCTCTCTGATTTGAACATCTCTGTGCAAATAAGGCATGAAATGCAGCAGGGGAAAATGACCTGGCTGTGTTTCAAGTCATAAGTGTAAACACACCCTTAGCCTTTTGCAGCAAAAAAAAAAAGGGGGGGGGAGATTCATGTGGAGTTACTAATCTCCAAGAGAGATGCAGGAAAGACAACAATGACTAGAAGATCCAGGAGGCTACAAATGCAGGCGCCAGGATTTCAAGAGGCAGCAGACCAAGGGAGTGAATCAGATTAGAAAATTAAGCTTGAGAATGAAAAATGGGAGGTCCAAAGGAATGAAAAGAAAAGACCTGAGGAAAGAAACAGGGGATGAGAATGGCTGGAGCAACTGAAAAGGCAAGGAATCAGTATTTTAATTTGAAATAACTATTTGTCTATAGGACTTTATTTTACAGCTACTGTACCAGCTTACATACTGAACAGGGAACACACTGCAAAAGACAAAACCACAATACACTACATTGTGTATATTGTCAGCTGTCTCCTCTGTTGAATCAATAGCCTTATCTACATGAATTTTAGCCACCCAAAATTAAGGACATAGAAGGAAGGTAAATATTTATGGAAGATGAAAAACTTGAAATTCTCCCTTGTTCTGTGGTTGTCAAACTAACTTTGGAGATTGAACATAACAATTTAGGTATACGTTGTATATTTCAAATATATTACCTATCCGTAGTGTCCTTTCTGCTCTTTTCATTGAGCCATCACAGATACGCTGCAGTTCACATTTTCCAGTCAACTGTCTCAAGATCCATTTTAGCCAAAATCGAAATATATTTCTATACAAATAGCTCCATAAGTGTACAATCATTTTCTACAACACCAAAAAAAAAAAATCACAAATGGTAACTGAGTATAACAAATACTCAAAAATTCTGTACTATGTTAATTTAGAAGGCCCATGCAGCCTAATGGAACATATTCCCAAGTAAGTCACGTACGTGTGCACAGAATTAACTGCAAACCTTAAATTCCAGTACTAGCTGCTTCAAGCTATTAAACTATCGGGGCACTTCACCCAAAACTAAATAATGCTGGAATCCTAAATTCAATTACTTGGGAGTAAGACAGGAGTGCCTGGGGTGCTCTGGTCCATGGGGTCACAAAGAGTCGGACACAACTAAATGACAACAAAAAAATCTAATTGAATTCAATGGAGTTTACTTCTGACTAGAGATATACAGAGCCTGCACTGTACTTAAGCATTTGAAACCAACAAAATTAGGGTTGCATTTGTATCAGTTACTTGGGAGCATGCCCCATTGATGTCTCAAAAGAATGCCTCAACCTGGGCTTTTCTTGCTTTTTAAAAACTGCTCCTGCTCTCATTTTCTTGCAGCCTAGAGACATGAAGGCGGGGGGGGGGCATTTAGGGAGAGGGATAGTTTCCCCCATTTTTCCATCCCATCCCCCCCCCCGTTTTGTCTTCACATCCGTATTGCAGACAAAGTCTTTATTCTCCCAAACTTTCTAAGTTTTGAGTTTTAGTTGCTGGGCTTACTGTCCATTCAGTGCTTGGTTTGACTTCATGCTGATTTTACAGTCGTTTACCATTCCAGAAAACATCTGGTTAAACTCTTAACCATTAAAGGGTAAACATATAAACACACTATATAAACATTTAAGAACATCCTAATCCCTTCACCTCCGCTAGCAGCAAAGGTATCAGAAGCAATGATTGCAGAAATCGTAACAGAACGGTAGTTTTAAAAGGCAATTTTATTGCACGTGAGTTACTCTCATGATTGTGAGCTCACTGCTGTCTTGCTGCTGCTTCCCGAGCTCATAAAAAAAGGAATACTCAAGCGCCAGCTTTTACTGGCTTGATTCTGGCCAGCATCTTCTCTAGGGTATCTCCACAGGAACTAAACATTTGCAAATATGTTTGTACTGTAAAACCTGCAGGGATTCATTCATATATATACATATATACACACACATATATATATGCGTAATATATATATATTGGAGGTTCTGTTTCAAGAGGCCACTGCAGCATACAAAAAGATCCAGTCTTAGTGTACGCAGTCACAAACAAGTCCTCCCGCCCACCGGCTCCCTAATGAACCTGATCCCGGAAGCGAATATCGGGCCAGAGAAGAGCAGCTGGTTTGAAAGGGGACGAGCCTATAGGCAGGCCTTGTCCCCGCCGCCCCCATTTTCCAGGGTCCTCTCGCCGTCCCCTCCCCTGCACGCTCCACCAGACGCTCTACCCCCGCCCCCACCTCCCCGCCCTTAAACGGTACCAAACTCTGGTCACACCATCCCAAGCGAGAGCGCAGCAGGCCGGGCAGCGGCCTCACTTCACCTTCACGCCAGCAGCTCCCTCCCACAGCCCCACCATAAAAGGAAGTTGCCTCCCCCACAGACCCGGAAGTGAGTGATGTGGCCCGAGATGGGGGAGGGGTTGCGTTGGCTGTTTATAACTGTCCTGTCAGAGAAACACGTCCCTTAACAAACCATTCCCAACTCCTTTCCCCACCTCCTTAGAAATGACATGAGCGTCCGTGTCCGCGGGGGCTTCCATGGTGCCCACCAGGCGAACGCAGACCGGCCCGTGAGGGCCGAAAAGGGCGGAGCGGGGGGATGGGCGGGTCTTCCGTTATGTCCGTTTAACGTCGCCGAACGGGTGGGCGGGGCTGCCCACAGCGGCGGGCCCGGCGTCGAAAGCGTGCGGGCGGTCGCCGCCGTTACCGGGGCAACAGACGCTCGCAACGGCCGAAGAGGGCGGGGCGTCGCTGCCTTGTCTCCTGCGTGCCTAGGCGCCGCTCTGACAGTTGGGAGGCGGACGCCGGTTGGGCGCGTAGCTGTCAACTTTTCCCTTTTCTTGCGAGGAATCCTATTCGGAATAAGGGAATTTCCCTTTAAAAAAGGGAACAGTTGACAGCTATGGTTGGGCGGCGGCTGGTTTCTAAGCCTTAAGAAGGGTTTCGGAGAGCGGGCGGGCGGCGCAGTCGCTTGCTGACCCTTCCTCAGGCATCCTATAAAGCGTGAAGGCTCCTGAGGGAAGGTTGGGACAGGGAAGGAAGCGGCTTGCTTTCTTCTGAGGAGAAACCGCTTGGAGGGGAGGGGTTTGTTTTGGCAATAAAGAAGTGTAAAAATGATGCCAAATGAAAATTGGGCCGTGGGGTCCTGAAGATTTTATTTTTTGAAAGCGGTGGGGTTAATGTGAAACGAGGAGAAGAATTGAGAGACACAACGGTCGCTGCGCGTGCCCCAAAAGGAGCCAGAAAAGACTCAAGTACACACTTGCCGGTCCTCAATTAATAATAAATAATTTTACTAGGACTTTAGGAAAGCAAATGGAACATAGTCATCATCATTATTATAATACAAGCCGGCTAAGATATATATATATATATATATCTATAATTTAATTAGTGCCAGTAAACGAGCACGGAAATGATACACATTGGCCAATTCTTATGAATAATGTATTATCCCATAATAACCATCAATTAAGTTGGGTTGGAAACAGGGGGAAACGAGGCCGCCGGCTGGAGCTCGCGGGCGCAGAGGAGAAGCGGAGGCGTCTCCTGCTGGCTTTGCGTCTTGTGGCCACCAGGTCGCTCCGTCGCTGCTTCTCCTTCGTTCAGGTGTTCGTAAGGTTTGTACAGGCCGAAGGGAGGGGAGGAAAAAGGAGATGGTGCAGGTTGGGTCTCGGGCGCCAGGCACCGCTTCCGGCGGCACGTCCTACTTGGTTTATGTTCCGTGTTATTTTAACTGATTTACGCGCCGCCCTTCAGCCAATCGGAATCCCAGGACTTTCCACAACAAAATATCCATAGCTGCCTGTCTGTTCAAGACTAGCCCAGTGTGGTCTGTAACGAATGCAGATGGGTCTCAGGCAGAGGTCTTTCCCCATCTCCTGCTATAATATCCTCTCTCTTGTTTAATACGCTGAAAATGCCGGGGAGTGCAGCTGGACCTTTTCCATGTAAGGTACCTGTCTTGCTGTACCAACAGCACTGTGGTCTCGGCCTGAAATACAGTTATACAGTAGTCCCTTTCTAAAATAAAAAACAAGATGGTGAAATAACATTAACCCATGCACTGCTCTATCTTGCATAAAACATTTGTTCCTGTAGATGCTTGGTGGCTGCTATAATAGATTTTAGCTCTATTACTTGAAAGCAAAGGCCACTAACTTCCAAGTTAGTGGTACTTATTTCCAAGTAGGATTGTAATCCTTTGTACTATTGTTTCTGAGTGCATAGGATACAGCCGCACATTTTAGGGTGTCTATAAAGGTTTGTTTTTTGTGGTTTTCTGACATTTGTGTAAAGAGAGATGTTGCAGTTCACATAGGTGAGCATCCTGAGTCAGATACAGTCTTATTGATAACCATGTGATTGGTTTTCAAGTGAACTTTTGCTGGTTAATAGCTGAATTTGACATTGGTTCCAGTGCTAGGGCAGGGTTCGGGAAGTTGGCTGTGTTCTAATACAGCTTAGCTTACTTCAGTTGGAGACTATCACTTGTAATATATACTTACACATCATATTTTCCTATATACATAAAAATGGAAGGTTATAATCATGTAGCCCCCATTGGAGGATTGTAGTGCTGCATCACAATCCTGGATTTGCATGAAGTCAGGGCAAGATAGGAGAGCAAAAGTGAAGGCAGGTTTGCATAACAGCAGCAGCCATGGTATGGGAATGAGGAAGGAGCGGTACTGATGCAAAAAGTGGTAGTTTAAAATAGCAGTTGATGTTTGAGTAAGGCAGAAATGAGATAACTGAGAGGGAAATTGTGGTTTCAAACTATGATGGAGGTTTGAGCAAAGTACCTTCACACAATGGAGTCCTTGCACTGGCAATAATGCTTCACCATACAGTATGTCCCACTTCAACAGCCTGCTTGCTATTGATCACTAACAACTACCAAGCCAGTCATGATCCCTCTTTCCTGCACTGCCCCCTATTAAAGGAGAAACCATACAGAAAGAGCATTAACTCCTTGTGTGCACTATGCTACACTGGAAGTTAGACCACGCTGAATAGAAGCATTCTTTCCTGTCTCCCCTCCATCTCCACTTTTCACATTCTGTTTGTTTTCTTTTCCACATTTTTCTCAAAACTGTGATTCCCACCCCACCCCACCAAAGCTCGCATCTGCATTTCCTGCAGTCTCCCCCAATTAATTGTTTTCCCACAGGATCTTTAAAACTCCTTTACCCTTGCAGCACACAATGAGTCAAAGCTGGAAAGCACTTTCTGTACATAATTTCAGGGGTAAGAAAAGAGACTGTTGCCAGGCAGAGTTGAAAGCATTAGCATGATCAGTCAAGCCTTGAGAACAGTTTGAATTTTGGATAATAAACCATGGCTTAGTGTTATGTGTGAACCAGGCCAGTGAAGACATGCATCCAAAAATACATGCATAGGATTGTATTATTGACATAGTTTTGGCTGGTAAGCCAGCTGTGAGTTTATAGGAGTTATTTTGGTCATTATCCATACCCTGATAATATCTAAGTAGGATTACTGTAATATGCTTTATATACATTTGCCTCTAAAGAGTGTCCAGCTATTTTAGTTGGCTCATATAGATGCAAGGTTGTTAAATGAGGAATCTCTCCAACAACCATGCAAGGTGGAATGCTTGTCACACACCTTTTCTAAAATAAGAAGGTGAATAGGAAGGTGAATGGCAAAGAACAGAGGGAGGACAACCCCATTTTATCTCCACGAAATCAGGAGGGGGAGAATCATAGGTGGAGAAGCATTCAGCAATCAAAAGTAATAATAATAACAATAATTAATAATAATAAATTAATTTATTATTTATACCCTGCCCATTTGGCTGGGTTTCCCCAGCCACTCGGGGCAGCTTCCAACAAAATATTAAAATACGATAGTCTGTCAAACATTAAAAGCTTCCCTAAACATAACAAAATTTGGAGCAAACATCCCATAGGCACTGGAATCACCAAGTGAGAGAATGTTTTCTCATCCATTCTTATTAGGCAGAACCTGATGGATACTTTAGATGTTTCCAGTCTGCATTCTTACTTATTTATGGAACTCCTTCCCTTTGGAAGCACAAATGGTGACAACATTAATGGCTTTTTCTTGGCTGGTGAAAACCCATTTGTTCTCACAAACCCTTTGGAGACTATCTTTTCCCCCTCCCTCTTGGCTGTTTGGTACTGCTTATAAATGGAATTGCTTTGAATTATGTGTGTTTTAATTGTATATTATTATATTTTATGTCATTGTTATTATTTGTTGTAGAAACTTAAACAAAGATGTTCAGCACACTAAATGATGAGACAGATTGCCTAATGTTGGGCACATTGAGTTGGGTCAACATCCTGCTTCTATGACAATGGCATAATTTCTGATTGATTCATTGCCATTTGTGGTGTCTCTGCTTTCTGTCTATTCACCAGCTTCTAATATTAGTACCAACTGTTGTTGCAAGAAAAAGATTGCCATCTATGTTGGACACCACATTCATTTTGATACTTATGCTACTCATCATGCTATCTACTATTGTGTGTACTCTAGTCCTGTTTTCCCACCCAGTTCACCTCCACTACCATCATTAGATCATCCCTCTCCTGCTGCCTTTCATACTATCGGTAGTGTAAATCCCTGCTTTCTTAATGGTACAGGTAGCATTTCCTTTTGGGGGAAAGTTTTTTTTCCTTCTTCATCACCTGCTGGATGACAAGAGAGAGCTGCCACAAGTTTTCCATCACAAAGTCTGTTGATTGGTTAAGCAGCAAATCCACATTTCCCACTACATGGTGGACTGTAACTCAAAAGCTATGGCAGGCTTACATCACCCTCCATATCTGTGCCTGGCTGCAATCAGTGGCTTTCCTACAAGAGGCCCATTCAAGTATCAAATACATTCCTCTTGACTGTGAGGGTCTCTTTAATTAAGGTGTCTTGCACACTGCCACTGTCACAGGAGAAGTGGCTGCAGCTTCCAGGTTCTGCCAAAATATCACAGACCTCTCACAAGATCTCACCAGAACCAGGAAACCAAAGCCACACAACCTCAGTAAGCAAGGTTTCAGTGGAGGGGCAGCCACAGGGGGCAGGGGGCACGGGGCACCTTCCCGTTTTGCCTCGTGACAAAATGGGACAGGCTGCCCCTAGGTTATCCACACCTTTTTCCCCCTGCACATGCTTCAGTGAATGAAGAAGGAAGTTGTGATTGTGTGTACCATGCGTAGGCAAACTAAGGCCCGGGGGCCGGATCCAGCCCTATCGCCTTCTAAATCTGGCCTGCAGATGGTCCGGGAATCAGCATGTTTTTACATGAGTAGAATGTGTCCTTTTATTTAAAATGCATCTCTGGATTATTTGTGGGGCATAGGAATTCGTTCATTCCCCCCAAAAAAAGTATAGTCGACCCCCCCCCAAGGTCTGAGGGACAGTGCTGAAAAAGTTTGCTGACCCTGATGTACACATACCGACAATGGCATTTGGCAGATGTGGATACAACCCACATTGCCACAACTGCTTTAATCTGTTTACATTTGTTTTCAAATGAACATACTTTAGGATAATGCAGAATCAATTTGCAATGAGCCTTTATTTTTGGTATTGAAACTAGCTACTCTAAATCTAAATAAGATGGTGTCAGTGGTTTCAGAGAACTTCACTTATACTAA